AGCCGCACTAGAATGGGAGGCATTGAGGAAAAAGACACAGCCCTGAGTCATGACGCCAGCAGCCACAAGAGCAAACGTTATATCCCTCAGTCTGAGAAACGACTACCTTTCCATCCAGTCTGTGTGTGTGTGTCTGTGTGTCTGTGTGTGTGCTGCCTTGCCAAGCCGCTTCACACACAGGGCTCATGGCTGTCATAACCCATCCAGTGATGCTGGCAGGGGAATAACCGCTGCAGTGTTGTGCCTGAGCCAGACATGACAGAAAGAACAACAACCTACAACTTTGCAAAGACATCAGCATGTCCTCACACATGCTTTATGAAAACAGTTCCCCTTCCCCTCTGGTCAAGAAGTTCTTCGCTTTTCTTTTTTTTCTTCGGAAGAGGGAATGTAACAGCTTCTAACAGACAACTTTGAAGTGCTTGACAGGCTCATCCCCATCAGCAAACACACAAACACGCACGCATACACACCTGGGCACACTTCTGACATGAGAGTTGCATGTGCAGCATAAGAAGACGGAATTTCTAACAGTCAACATTTAACAATTTAGACAGAATACATTTAAAAAAAAAATTAAACAACAGATATACATGCATTTGTTTTGTTTTACTCTTTGTAAAAACCACTTGATCCACACAATCTTAACAATTAAAGGGAATAATTAATAGCCTTATATAGTATTTTCAATATTTTTTTACCATTAGGAATAGGGAGCAAATAAAGCCATAAACGCCTCATACCTGCATGCTCTTCAGCTTGTGATCCGTCGGGCTGTATCTCTCACATTCTTCCATCCCTTTTCGGAGGAAGGCGTTCACTACAAAACTGTCTCCTGAGACATGAAGAAAACACACCGATTAGCAGGTAAACATCTCAAGCTTAACCTACTTTATAAGATTATCATAATTAATTAACAATCATTATACAAAAAAAACTGTTTATCCTCACCTTCAGGGTTTTCTCTGCGCTTACACGCTTCAGTTCATCAGAGACAGGGATGCGAAAAAGACATTTGTTAGTCTTTGTAAGGATAGGAATATTTTAAAATACTGTCAATAAGTGCGGAAAAACTTGAACATTTCTTACCATGTTTTGACTGAAGTTTCCCCATTCTTAAGTCCCTCTTCCCTAGATCAATAAACGTACTCCGATATGGCAGAAGGTGAACACAGTCACTGCTTCAGCATGGTCACATTGTGTTTATTCTGCGAGAAGGAAACTCCAACTTCATCCATAGGCAGGTAATTTAGTCGCTTGTTCATTGAAGTATCACTTGAAATTATATAAATGTTTAAAAATATCTGTGCAGGAGACAGGGCAACACTCGCTGTCTGCCTCCAGACTTCCCTTCAGTCCGACTGAATGCTGCAGAAGCGCTTTGAACACAGCTCACATCCCGGAGCATCAAGGCAGACAGCAGGTAGGGCACTTCCGGTTAGTGTTTCTACAAAATAAAATATCAACATGACAACATTTTAACAAGTGATAAAAAACATTCATGCGAAAAGGAGAAAATTATCAACTAATTACTGAATAAAAAAGGGAATTCGTTATCCAAATCAAATTGTTGACATTATCAGACACATTTTCATTTAATCACAAATCTACTAAAACCGATTGACGGATTTTGTACCAAATTATTTTTATTTCATGACCGGTAGCAGCAAAAACAAAATGTATTGTTTATTAGTAATTGAATAACCTACTTATAAGAGTATCAACAATTATAACAAAAACCATAACCCTTTTTTTGCATATGCCAAAGTTAAAAGGTTCAAAATTGTATATGATATTCCAGACGGAAAAAGACATGAGTAGGCTAGGCTACACTTATTGAATTGTGTCTTAATTAAAGTTTGAAATGCTGCCTTTTTTCTTTTAAAACAGTATTAAAGTAACAACGACAACACAGTTTACACCCAGCAAATCCTTACATTTGACAAGTTATCCATTATTTTGAAAAGCGAATGGATTCATTTCCGGTTGTAGGTTTTGTTTAGCTTGTCGCACTTTCGCCTAGTTTGGCAGCTCGTGTGGCGTTGAATGTCAAACCGCGTCCTCTGTTGGTGTGATTTTCCGAACAGCTCCATTCATGGTTTTCAAAGTAGACCAATATTTATGACTAGGAGGACACTTTCCTTTAACTAAATAATTGGTTTTCCGTTATTCAATGTCACATTCGTTAGTAGGCCTGTTAGTAACACACGTCAATTAAACGGGTAAAGCTGTACACTGCTACTTAAGTTGTGAAATAACAGCTAATTATCCACAAAGTGCTGTGATGTACACTAATATTGCAGCCAAATAATTTATGTTGGATCACTTCAAACTATTTCGTTTTGTAAAACAACAGAGGCTTTTTTGGTGTGGTGTAGAGATAAAAAGTGTGCAATTATTAACATTATTAGTAAGTTGTTATTGTACAAGTCTGTGTGTTATGCAAACACCATTTACATCCCCATTAAACTTGCCCTTATTTGCTTTGGTTGTGTGTTCAACAGATGCTTAAGATAACATGTTGTTTATTAAAGAAAAACAGGAAGAACATGTTGTACCAGACATCAAAAGCTTTTTAGCAGTTTAATAGTTGTTCCCTTTGGCAGGGCGTTACAACTGGGCCTGGCCCAGTGGCCGCAGGACACATGCCAAGAGTTATGAATTTTCATTCACTAAGGCACACTTTGGCTCAGTATGAAAACACAACTGTCATGTTAGTGTTTTGCAAATATTCCACTCCTGTGCTGCTGATTAAACTCAACATGAGAAGATATGCTATGCTGATCTTTGCATGTGATCAAGGCATAAACTGTTAGTGCACGCCTGGTGTCTCACCCGCTCACTGCTCTAAAGGGCTGCTGTCAAACATAAAATGACAGCCCATTCCTTAAATCTTATCCTTTACCTAAACAGAGCAGCTGGAGGAACATCAGACCCATGCTTTCTCTATGCTGCTGTAGAACATCTTATTTTCTGTTTAAATGGTACTATATCATAGTGTCCCAGTTACACCAGCATACCATGATGAATGGAGAGTGCAACTATATATTGCTCTTCCTGTCAATTTGTCTGCCATTTGACTTCTTCACAGACTTCTCAGTGGCTGACAGGATGAGCCGACATTTGCATAGCTCATTGATGGCAGCTTCTTTGATCCTACTTGCCGTGCCTAATTATCACCATTTCTTTATGCAGCCTGGCTCCCAGGATTCTGTCTCTTTACAAGGTATCTCTCCTTTATCCTTATCCTGTCTAGCGCTCTCCATCTCTAACATCCAACTTAAATAGATGACATACATATGGGATGCAAAAAAATCTGAAGCAGAAACAACTGTTCGTGCCGTTTCTGACAGGATTGCCGGGAACAGACAGAGGATGTCTTTAAAGAGCAATGATAAAAGTCCTGGTTTTTCATCAAAGGCTGTCATGCAGATGAAGAATTGAAAAGCCCTGACATGGCTTAACTTTTATGTGCTCTTTGCACAATAGATGTGGATCATTATTCTGCCAAAAGTGCAGTGTTTTACGTCAATCAACCTCTTTAAAATCATCTAAAAGATCATATCAATGTAACCTCTTTAATCTATCATTTTTTACTCAGAGAAATGAGTGATAGTTTCCACAATTTAGTCTGTTCACTTTCTCCCTATAAGTTAATTCCCTCCCTATGTGAATCACCATTGGCACATGCAGCGATATTCCATTGCTTTCAGCCATGTACCTGAACAACGGTTGAGAGGATAAACATCAGACTGTTTGTTATGTTTGGAGTTTTCTGACATTTTCAAACTGCTTGAAACAGTGATAAAACCCTGTAACAATAAGGCTTTTGACTTTTCATCCTTCTGCGTTTTGATTGCCTTTCAACAGCTGCCTGGTTTTGGAGCAACTACAGTCAAAAGAGAAAAAGGCCTCCAGACAGAGCGATTATGGTTTTATTTACAATGCCCGTTCTAACAGCTCTCTTTCTTTATTTTTCCTCTGCCCTTTGTGATCATTGATCTGAGAAGAACGTGGAGCTTTTTCATGCGATTCACCTCACATAAAAACTTAATTGACATAAAATCAGTGGGCACTTAACAATTAAATATAAAAAGATACACTGGAATTAAAAAGGGATAATTCACAGAAGCAACAATACGCCGACAGCTTTCGGGGATTCTTGTAAAACCTAATACTTGTGTATCCTTTTAAGGTCTTGATTACAGTATCAATCTTTTTGCTTGATCTTAACGCCAGACAATATAATCAAATCCATAAAAGTCTCACGTGAAATATACTCAATGGAACAGCCAAGAAAGGTCATTTAAAGTGTGATAGCAATAAGATTGAGTATAAATGAAGTGTGTGAAAAGAGATGAACTGCTTGCTTTCCTTTTACATCGTGGAACGGCCCGCAGAATGCAGCTTTGAAGTGGAGTGAAAAAGCTGTTGCTCAACAACAAACAAAGGGCACATTGTCTGAACCCGGCAGCTGACATGCAAAGCGGCAGAGCATTCACAGAATGCAAAACATGTTCATACGAACAATGGAGCCACTGATCTGTTCATGTAAACTGTGCATTTGGCCGATACATTTTATAAATGAATCCTCTTTCAACAGTTTTGTTTTAAGGGCAGATTGGTGGCAGCCACGCGCAAACAGTCAGTCGGACAGTATAAGCATATTTCACTTTGAGTCTCATAACGGAGGACTACTGTGTAGCTGCACATTGCACTCTTAGTAAAACCTGGAGCAGCTTTTTTACTACCAGATCTACATTTGTGTGGGTTAATTGTTTTCATTCATTACAATTATTTAGATAACCCACATGAGACATGCTCAAGGTCATCTGCAATCTGGGGTCAATGCTATGGGCATTTTCATTTTCCGATATCACATATTTTCGAAAAACCCGCAATAATTAGTCTCTATTTAAAACTGTTCAATGGCATCTGTGCGCCACCAAGTGGTGGCCGCAAAACCTCCATTATGCATCTGCATATCAAAAACCAACATGAAAATAATAGATATTGTTTATTACAAAGTTATATACAAAATAAAGTCGTAATGAACACATTAATCCAGAGAGTTTAAAGAGGATTTGTTGTTAACATGAATATAGAACTGACAAACATAACTTAACATTTGTAAGTGATGGTCTGAGGAACATCCCTTTTTAAAACACATGAACAGTGTAAAAAAACTGTCATGTTTAAGGGAAAGTTCACATTTCTCAACATAAGTCGGTATCTTGCATGAACATTAGCATTTTCTACAGATCCTGTGGATGGAGTTGGATCAGTGAGATAGCAACTTTTAAATGAGCACCAGAAAAGGGAATTAAAAAAGTTCCCACATCTCAATGAGATATCTTCAAAACAATCCATGAAAGGAGCTAATGTGTTACACAAAAGGTAACTTATGCCAATACAGATGTGAACTATCCCTTTAAAAAAAAGAACCGACAAAAAACGGTGGCACTGTAAAGCTAAATGTTACATAAAAATATCAGAAAACACACAACGCATTTGGCACTCCATCTTAACCCAAACTGCAAATACTGAAAACCAACTTGGCAGCAGCACCAACAGAATCACCTGAACAAACATTTATGTTAGAGATAGTATTTGTTAAAACAATATAACTTGCCAATATATTTAACACATTTCTGCCAAGTGAATTTAATAAGCTTTATAAAAAATATGTAAAGGTCGTAGTTTCCAAAACTACAAACAAACAAGCCACAGGAGAGCTCATGAACCACCGTGTGTCAGCCTTTGGGCTTTGTAAAAGTTCAGATACCGTTCACCAGATGAGCTTTTTCCTCCCTCTGTTTCTCCACTGTTTGGTGCATAGCCTCCATAAAACTCTCAAGGGTTGCTGTTGGTGTCTGCAGGCAAACAAACTGCGTTAAGAAAACCAAACAACTCTTTTCTCGCTACACTCGGAAGAACAAAATCTAATTCTTACCTTTACGAACAGCGCGTGGGCTAGAAATGGTAACTTCCTGAGTGCTCTTCCACTCAAACCTTTGCTTTTTCTGGAAAGGAAAAGAAAAACAACATAAGCCTCGGGCTGTTTCAGTTCCCACCGGCACTCAGTGCTATACAAGAGCACGGAGATGGTGCAATTTGGGTTCTATTGCATTATGGGAGGTCATACTCACTGAGCAATGCTCCTCAGGTTCAGGCTGTGCTCGGACACCTCACTCTTGGCGAAGCGCATCGTCTCCAGCTCAAACATGGTAAACAGCTGCTGCCGGGGGTAGATGATCTGGCACTGCACAAATCAGAATCAGATCAGAATACCTTTATTAATCCCACAGAGGGGACATTTACATTGTTACAGCAGAAAAGGGCAAAGACAGCTTAATGTTACCTAAATCACACAGCATGAAGCAGACACAATTCATCAATCCAACCCATTATATTTTAAGTGTTGTCTTTGTTTTGTGCTACTTAGAGCTAAAACAAATAGTCAATCAAGAACATATTCGTCAACTATTTCCATAAAAGTTTTTATTTTATTGGAATATGTAGATTTCATGCTTTTATATCCTAATAAGGTAATTATTCAGGCTTTGGCCTGACAAAACTCAACATTTAAAAAAGGTATGACTTCGCACTTTAAGAAACTAGAATGGCCATTTTTCACTATTCTCTGACATTATATAGACCAAATGTTAAAGTGAAAATGAATATTCTAATTAATTTAGGATGATTGTTACTTGCAGTACAACTGTTTATTAAGGTTTTTTTAAGCATGTTGATAAAAGAGCTAAACATGATACTACCATAACATTTCATTTGTATACCGATAGACCTACAACCATTGGGGGGATTTGGGGAGAGTCTTGTTTAAGTACACTCGACACATGGACAGAAAAACATGGGGGTTGAACCACCAACCCTTTCATCAGTGGACAATAATTGCAAATAACGAGTAACGACACAATGTTACTGAGTGTTGGGTCACCTTCATCAGCTCCTCCAGGCAGGACAGGTAGATGTTGTAGATGCCCTTCTCTGATGGAGGTCCGATGTACTGCTTGATGTCAGCTCTGTCCACAAACGCCAAGTCTATCTTGTCCGTCACGTTCGAGGTCGTCAGAATCACCACGTTGGGATGTCTAAAATATGAGCCCAAAAGTCAACACAAAACAAACTTGTTTAAATAGGACTAATTCAAAAGTATGACGGAGGATTTCCCAGTGCAAACGATAAATAAGAGTGATTATAAGAATGCAAAACTAAGGCTTATGGTCACAAGCTATAAGGGAGAGGTTCTAAAAGAGTACATGGACCATTTTCCTTCCTCACCGTTTGATCTGGTCCAGCTGAGTGAGAACGGCGTTGACCACTCTAATGGCGTCAGAGGGCTCTGTCCCCGCCTGGCAGGCACTCCTAGCTGCTGTCAGACTCTCCACCTACCCACCATGAACATTTTCACAAAAGAGCAGCCATGGTCACATCAACGGGAGATAATTAGGTATAGAAAGTTTACAAGACAGCCATCTTGTTGATCTAAGTGAATCTGAAACAAACCTATGAAGGAGTGTACATAATAATTGGATCTTAGGGGCTTAGATAATACAGATTCCAATAAAAGTATTTCATCTTTACCTCATCTATCAGAACAAACACAAGAGCGTCTTTGTCGTCAATCAGCTGTTGGATCTTTTGAAACATCTTTGTGACCAGCTTACCGCTCTGTAACAAAAAAGCATGATAAAAATAACATCAATTCAATCTGGAACATTTGTTAATCAAACAAGGTAACATAAAAGGAGCCAGGTGTACCTCTGAGAACCACTTTGAGAACAAGCTGTGGCTGTTTATCTCCACAAATTGCCCATAAGAATACCTGCAGGGAGAGGAGTGTATTTTCAAATGAAAAGAGAAGGTGTAATTACTGCTGAAGCTGTTACTAAAATTAGGATTGTCTAATTACCGACTCGACAGTCTGATTGACAGCTTCTGGGCGAGAGCTTTGCAGAGTGATGTTTTCCCTGTGCCCGGGGGGCCTGGACAAACAATGAAAAATCACTTTTCACACACCCATTTCCGACACTTCAACCTCAATGGATAAAAAAAAGGTGATATCTTCTTTGTTATTTACCGTGAAGGAGCACTACACGGTTCCACGAAATCAGGTTGCTGTTGACATTTTTATCCGAGAAGTAAATTGTTGTTGTGACATAATCCAGGAGCTGAAGGAAAATGTAAACAATGAGAAGTTGAGCAGTGAAATAGTTATGCAATCATGTTCTCACAACTGCCAGTTAATGTGTTTTACCTGGGTTTTTACTCCGCTCTCATATTCCAGACTCTCCCATATCCCATGGAATTCAGCTGTCAAAATTAGATAAGAGTAATTGAGGGGAACATTCAGCAGAGATTGAATTGAAATGAGCTAAACATAGATTCATATTCATAAGATGAATCCAAGCAAATAAAAAAAATAAAGCAACTTTGAAGCCAAAAGGGAGTGTCAATCAGTTTGCTTCAGTCTTTTTGTTCTGTCTTTGTTTGTTGTCAGCACTTTGCCCATGAATTCAGCTGCATATTGCTGTAACATCCGCATAATCACCTTCTCACCTATAGGAGATGTGATTCATCCTTTTTGAAGTATACATTAACTCATATAGAAATAACACATTGCATGCCAAAATTATGTCTTCCTGTTTTAGGTTATTGCTGGCTATCCAACTTTTCAAACTAAGAAGGCAAGCCTTTTTGTCAAGATGTTTTCTATTCAACACGTTATCCTTCTCCATGTTTGGAAGTGTCACCTGCTGGCAGCAACCAGTGATTGGCTGCTGAAAGCTCCTCATCCGCCTCCAAACTGAGCGTGCTGGGTCCATCCTCATTCAGAGTGAAGATGTGAACGGAGACAGAGCAGCTCTTCAAATCCAGAGGCTAAGCAGGGGGAAAAAATGGGGAGGGGGAACAAATGGGGGGGGGGAGAAATACAGCTTAACAACTGCTAATCATTATTACTATAATGAGAAACAAAATGATGGAATATAATCGCAAGTAACAGACCTGTGTGACCAGTTCCTCAACATCAACTATAGCCACAGACTCCACATGTTTCTGCAGGTAGTCCTCATCAAACTCTGTCCATCTGTAGTTTCCAAAAACCATGCTGTGGCGATTCAGAAGAGCCAGAACATGAATCCTCACCTCGGACCGTTTAGCTGTGCTGAAATGTAAACAAGAATTGGAAAAACGCAATTACATTATTGGTTATCATTAGTATAACACAGTAAGTAAACATATGTATGGCAGAGATACCATTCAATACTAATATGAATATTGGTTTCTATACTTTTACAAAACATACTGTGTGTATATTTGTTTTTCCACTTTTACGTTTTCAGTGACATGTTTAAACTACTTAGCCTGCCCACCTGTGAGATTTAACATGGACCTCCACATTGATGTCTTGTTTCTGGTTTCCCACCTCCATTCTGTCGCCGTCCATCTCTGCAAACAGAGCAACAATCATGACTTTAATGCAGCATTGTCTACTATTTGCTAAACGTTAGCTAGGTAACTTAAGCGATAGTGAGCTTTAGCTAGCTAACTTAGGTGGCTAACGTTGACGTATCTCAAGTAGTAGCTGAAGCTTATCAGTCAGTCTACTACATTAACACAACTGTAAACATACCTCACACCATTTACGACAAGACTGGTAATACTTGCATCCACCAAAGTTGTGGTACCCAAGAAACTACGGACGGTCCGCTGTCAGAAAGCCGACAACACTCGCTCAAATACCGCGCTGATTAGCTAAACCGGAAGTGCTTCATTTGATTTGTGTATCACTTCCGCCGCTAGCTTTCTTGCTGCAGAGCTACAGTAAAGCTAGCGACTACTTGCAATATAATTGGAATAAAGTCAAATCTTCGGATATAAAACACGGAGAGATGGGGAAAAAACACAAGAAACATAAGCCGGAGTGGAGAACAGTTGATGGTACCCGAATGCATATTCAAATAATAGTTACTGCTTTTGTTTTAAGCTAGCTTTTCGTTCGCTAGCCTAGCTTACCTGGCTAGCTCAAGTGACATCAGATTTGCATTGTTTTTGTTATGAATGTCTGTTCTTATCAACCAACAGGGTGCACATCCCACACATCTCTGTTATGGTGTCCAAGTAAATCGGATAGTAATCAATATTGTTCGTGTTTATGTATCACGGGGGGAATCAAATATTTTCTATAACAGAAGAACATTCATACATACATATACATAGTAATTACAGTTGTTTTTAAGATACATTATAATGCAATACTTTAAAAATATGTATTCTATAATATACAACCGTATACATAATAATAATAATTATAATAATAATAAGGAGAATGGGAAGAAATGGGATTAATAGCCCATAGCCAGAGTTAACCAGAGTATTGCACAGTTAAATTATTATTGCAAAGAGAAAGGCAACATATTATTTTCATGTGAAGTCAGGGTTGTGTAGTTGTATTTATAAACATATTATGCGGTTATAGCTGATGAAAACATTGTTGAGACAGTTGTATCTATCTCCTTTCTTTTGCATTGTGATTTTAAAATTGTAGTTAATAATTGCAACACAAACAGTTGAGCAAAAGCACAAGAGTCATCTTCTACACTACACTAAAACAACACAGTAAAATTCAATCAAACCCAATCATTCAACATACAGTGGAAGGTTTTCTACAAAAGTTTATTATAGCTACTTGTTTTACAATACACAACATATTTAGCGTTTAAAGTAATAGCAGAGAAAACTTGCAAGATTCCTATCATATTAATAAACATTATACTTAATGTTCACATACTCCTTCCACAACTTTTCACCTTCCATCATGAATTGTTATCTCTACTCCTGTCTTCAATGTTGTTTATTTTGGCTTTAGACTCTGAAGACAAGGCTCTTGAGAAGCCCCTGAAGCTTGTGCTCAAAGTTGGAGGAAGTGAGGTGACAGAGCTCTCTGGTTCGGGCCATGACTCCAGCTACTACGACGACAGATCAGACCATGACCGGGAACGGCACAAAGACAAAAAGAAGAAGAAGAAGAAAAAATCTGAAAAGGATAAAGACAAATATGCCGATGATGATGAGAGAAGACGGCGGAAGGTTCGTTTACAAAAGAACATTATACCATTTGCATCTGTGTTTGGTGCCTTTGTAAGTTAAAAACTGGTTTTGATCCTATACCAAAGGAGGAAAAGAGGAAGAAGAGAGAGCGAGAGCAGAACGAATCAGAGGCTGCAGCTTCTACTGCTCCCAGCAACGTCGGTGTGGCTGTTGAACCTTTCACATTGCCAAAAAGTAGCATAAGTATAAGTATTGGACTAGAGGTGAGTAAAATAACGTAGCCCGCTAAATATACCCAAAAGCTTCTTAATGATTCCCTCCCTCACAACATGACTGTATTTCATTAGCCAGAGGAGAAGAAAAAGAAGAAAGAGCGAGAGAGAGATAGAGAGTTTGAGCTAGAGGACGAAATGGATGAGTTTGACCCCGATGGGAAGATGGAAGGAGATCCGCTGGGAGACAGGCCGGTCCGAGCATGCAGGACACAACAAGGTGAGAATGCCTACCTCTCTATCAGAACAATAACTAAACGATTTGAGAAGCAAACATTACTTCTCCTTTTGGCGATTATTTACTTGTAGATGTGTTCGTAAATACCTGTATTTCCATATGTTTTCCAAATGCAGAGAGTGAATCCACTCCTCGTCAACAACTGCTGGAGCACTTTCTGAGGCAGCTGCAGAGGTGAGATACACTGATTTCACTCTTATTGCAGCATCCACATGTATTGTCAACATTCTGTCCTTCATCCTCATTGCCACAATGCTGCTTCTCAAGAGCTATAACTAGAGATCATTGTTCAATATTTTAAAGATCCAGAAGCATAAAGACTAAGGGTTAAGGGCAAGGCAGAATGATACATGTTCCTTAAGCTTCATATGTATTTTTTTGTTCTTAAACCATCTAGCACAAACATATCATACATTTATTTGCATATTACACTGGTAATGAATGAGCCCAATCATACTGCCCGAAACGTGAAACCAAATGTCAACTTTGTATATTTAGAATGTCAAATTTACAAATGTACATTAAATGTCCTGAAAGCAGATTAAAATGACTTTCCTCTAACCCCAGTAAGAATCTAAGAAGAGCAAAGTTTGCATTTTGTGGTTTTCGCAACACCTACATACAAAATATTGTTGGGGGAAATAAACATTGCTGCATTTACAGGTAGTATATTTTGCCTATATTCTATTTCTGTATTTATAATCTGGAGGGTAGTGTCAGTCATGTTTTGATAGAAACGTTGTGTGTGACTTCTGATGTTTAAGCCAGATGTTGTTATCAACACTAGGACAACGTCAGAGCAAACGTTAAGTCCACAGTACAATGTGGTCTGGTTCTTCAAATCACAACACAGCAAGATCCATTTATATTGATCGTATTGACCTGAAAGATAACGTGCGCTAACATGATCCCAACACTTGCGCTCAAGTCTGAACAAATCTTAAGCTTGGTGCTGTATTGAATAATGTTATGCACTACTTGTCCTTTCAGGAAAGACCCCCATGGATTCTTCTCATTTCCAGTAACAGATGCAATCGCTCCCGGTTACTCAATGATCATCAAACATCCTATGGACTTCAGCACCATGAAGGACAAGATTATGAACAACGATTACAACACAGTTACAGAATTTAAGGTGAGGAGAGTTTTCAACACAAGGAGAAAGTTGGGATGTTGAATATGTATTTGTATTATACTGTGTAAGAAAGTGCCAGCAAAACAAGTTTGTCTTAATACCTGTTTGAACAATGTTTTGCCTTCAGGGGGACTTCAAACTGATGTGTGACAACGCCATGGTGTACAATCGACCAGAGACCGTCTATTACAAGGCTGCCAAGAAGCTGCTCCACACAGGATTCAAGATGATGAGCAAGGTAATGTGGTCAAAGGGACGATGCAAACAGATTAGTCCATGTTAGCTGTCTTGTTTACTGGCTTAATTGAAAAGTAATTTACTTGTTTTAGTACTTCACTTCCTTTTCAAGTATTTTTTTACAAGAAATGTATCACTACATATCTGCCTTAAAATATATTTCCATAAATTGTACATTTTAGTTTAATATTTTAATTTGAATACATTTGAAATATACGTCAGGCAGACAGACAGACAGCAGTAATGATGTCACCTGGAGTGTAAGCGTGGCACTGCTCCATTTACAGTGTATGATGGAATGTATTCAAAGTACTATGACATTTTCCACTGCCCAGCAGCAGAGCATAATCAGCCCTACACATACATAAAACTCAAGTCTTGATGATACGATCTTATTGTAATGTCAACAATATTATTTGAGGGCGGATCTCCCCTTTAAAAACTCACTCTAATCATCAAAACCATCCCTACATCCATACATTATCCATACATTTACAGTAAAGCAGTCACAATAAGTGGTGCCCTATTATCCTCTGCCCTTTGTACAGGAGCGGCTTCTGGCTCTGAAACGCAGCATGTCCTTTATGCAGGAAATGGACTACACCCAGCAGGCAGCCATTTTGGGAGATGAAGATCTTGAAGATGATTTACCTCCTCCAGAGATAATCCCCAGCCCAGTGGAATCAGCTAAGAAGTCCAAGAAACAACCAGTCAAGGACATGAAGGAAATCAGGTAATCTAGATTAAATGTGACTTTTGTGCACATTTATGAAATAATATAATAAATGTAGTCAAATAGAGCATTGAGGAAAGTCCTGCTTATTTGATGTGCCTCTGATTTAGCACCCTGTCAGTATGATATTGCTGTAACGCTGTTATTTGTGTCGTTCCAGTTACCTGTTTGAACCAGAGGGGAACGCTTGCAGCTTGACTGACAGTACAGCAGAGGAGCACGTCCTGGCACTCGTTGAGCATTCAGCTGATGAAGCTCGGGATCGGCTGAACAGATACATGCCCAACTCCAAGGTTTTCCTTTTAATGTGTCTATTGTTTCTATGTATACATACCATTTCTAGCTATATTTTATGAGAATAACTGACAAATTGGTGGTTAGGATTTGGATGAGATATACTTTATTGATCCCAATTTTGGGATGTGCTTCGGTCACAGCAGCATAGATAAGACGTTGCACATGAATGAGAATTAAAACAACAAAAAAAACAATAAAGATATAAATATCAGCAGTAGAAGACAAACAAAATACGCAGAACATTGAATATATATTTCAGGCTTCTTCTGTTTTTATTGACAAATTATCTTCTGTGTTTTCAGATGGGCTATCTGCGTAAAGAAGCAGACAGTTCTCTTCTTTATACGGTTGTAAATCAGCTTGAACCTGAGGTAGAAGGTTTGTCATCATCGTGATAATTTATCTTTTATACAGATTTCAAAGCCCTATGTTCACACATGATTGGAGCTACATTAGTATGATTATCCTTTTTTTCTTCCAGAAGTGGACACTCATAAAGTGGACCTGAGCTCTTTGTCAAATAAGCTTCTGCCGGGATTAACAACTTTGGGTTTCAAAGATGACAGGAGACACAAAGGTATGGCAACAGGCTCTAATTACCATTATTCAAACCAAATTAATAACATTTGCTAGAAATTGCAACAAAGTCTATGACCTATAACAGATGTTGCCTTTCTCTTGTTCTGTATAGTGACTTTTCTGAGCAGTGCCTACAACGTCCAGACCCTTCAGAATAACTCCATCTATCCAGACCTGCAACCTGATGAGGTGGACATGCTTTATTCAGCCTATGGCGATGACACAGGAGTACAATGTGCTCTCAGGTAAGGGATTTTTCTATCATAGGTTACACTTAAATTGAAAATAATGTGTCCCCATTCTTTGCTTTCAAGTTCTCAACATGTTCACTTTCTCCCTCAGCATACAGGAGTTTGTCAAGGGCTGCAGCGGTGTCACGAAGCATTGGGTCGACACGCTTCTGGACAAGATGACTGCAGACGATCACACTAAAGCTGTCAATCAAATCCGACAGGTATCTAACTTTATACTTGATGTACAGAATGACATTGCTACCAGTCTCCAGGGTATTCTTGACCAATTATAGCACACTCTGCTCTCTGGCCTATCATGTGTTTGATGCTCATTTTACATTTCAGAAACGAAATATCATGCTTAAACCCGATGAAACCAAATCCAACATCTGTGACATGCAGGTATGCTGTAGTTTATAAAACAGTGATGGTGAATTCAAATCTTTGCCTGTATTTGTCTGATTGAAGCTGTGTATTTCTGTCCAGATGGCAGATGGCAGCGGCCTGGGAGACAGCGGCTCAGTCCTGGACTTCATGTCAATGAAGAACTACCCAGATATGTCTCTGGATATATCCATGCTGAACTCATTAGGTGATTTTCCCCATCAACACTTTCAGTGGCTACATTAACATGTACTCCAATAATCCATTTACCTCATTAAGAAATGGAAATGAGAAGGTGAAGATTATGAAAGTGCATAACTTGCGTTAATGGGATAATGCTATTTTTCGCAGTAGGCATAACAAGAGAATGTGTGGAGCTGTATATTCACAATAATCGTCTTAAGAGATTTTTACTACATTATGAAACACACACTGACTCAAACTACTTGATTGCTACTTGCCTTACAGACTTGTTGGATATAATCCTCTACTCCTCTTTTTCTGCTATATATGCTGGTGGCATTTTTTATTCAAATGATCTTGCCTTTTTTCTATCAGGTAAAACAGTTAAAAAGGAGCCGTGTAACGAGGATGGCCAGCAGCAATTTGATGAAGCAGACAAACTCCTGCAGGAGTTCCAGGACGCTCAGGTGGACAGAGTCGGCTCCAGACCATCGTCCAACCTGTCCTCCCTCTCTAATGCCTCAGAGAGGGACCAGCATCATCTAGGTATCTGCCATAGGACAAAACTAGGATCCCTGCTATTGCCTTTTTAGCTACAATTTTAAAATCACATTAGTGTCATTAGTATGATAATGTTCCGTAATTCTGTGTTGCTCAGTTTCTGGGTAAATATCAACTAGAGTTACACCAGTGCCACAACATTAGAGCCATATTTTCTCTCTCCACAGGGAGCCCATCACACCTGGGCGTTGGGGACCAGTCTGAAATGGTTCCAGACCCCTACGAGTTTCTGCAATCTCCGGAGCCAGAGAGCACATCTAACAGCTGACCACACACACTGCCATTTTGTTATCCTGGTGTTAACAGCACTGGGTACTCAGTCTTGGACTGATTTAAACACTGCGGAGACTGCACGAGCCTCTGACCTTAAAGACTGAATATGATTGTACAGGATGTTTGTAGTGTCATTGTATGTTTTTGTATTTGTGAAAATAAATGCTTGCACCTGTATTTATAAATGCGTGTGGTTAAATAAGCCAAATAGAAACTGTTATCAGCTGCATTATGCAACAAATATGCTGTGGGAACTGTCAACATGTATAAAACTCATCGGAATGTAGTGCAATTGCAGTTAGAGGATGTTGTAAGATTATCCGACCAAGTAAACTTCTGTGTTTTAACTGAGCAAAATTAGCTTTTTTTCACTACTGATACACAAAAGGGAAGTAAAAAAAAAAAGCGACAAGCAAGCAGTATAAATTGACATTCAGCATATTGTTACATGAGAGGTTAAAGATTTAAAAAATGGGTCTTATAAAAGCAAAAGTGTTGTGCAACTCTGTGATAGCATTTCCCTTATGCTATCATGGTAACCACTGGCTATTCTTGAGGGGTTTATATTCTCCAGGGGTTACAAGTATGTAAAAGGACAGCAAATACTGTTAGTTTGACAAGCAGTATACATGCGCACTTGCGCAGTTATCCACTCAGTGAAGGGCCACAATAAAAAGGAGCTGTGTGTCTCGAGGAGAGCTGTATTGCACATGCGCAGTAGAACGGTTTCCATCGCGCCGCTCCGACCTGCTGAGTGAGTTGATTCTTCAACTTCTGATTCAGGTCCCTCGGTGACACAAACCCGAGGACGTCGGATTATTTTATCCTTTTTATGCTTTTAATTGTTTCGGTTTATTTCTTGGCCTTTTATTTCATTATGTGAATTGTACCTTTTGAAGCACCTGCTCGGCGGATACTCTAATTATGGGATATCAAACGGTGGAAATCTCCGTCAGCATCTGAACAGGAATATTTTTGTTTTTATCTCATTGTCGCTTTCTTTCAACGGCAAAAGTAAGTATTGTTTTCATGGATTAAAGCTTCACACATTACTATTGTCCTTAACGCTAGGGTATTTTCGGCGTTACTTTGTGGTCTCTATCCGTTGAAATTATTTGAATTGTAAATTAAACACAAAACGCTGGGTGAGCTAAAGAAGACAACCAACATAAGCCAGCAGTTGTTAAGAAAAACGGAGACAACAAAACCAATGGGCCTGAAGACAAGACTAACAAGTTGATGGGTTGACTTAAAAAAAAAACATTGTTGCTACTGTAGAGGTTTTTTAGGCTATTTGATGGAGTTTCATCATAGCGTTGTGTCAGGCTACAAGCCAGAAGCAAAGCATGTGATTCCAAGGCCATTTTAAGGAAATGCATGTAGTAGGCTACGTTGTGTCACTGTTTTACAATTGATCAGCTGTTTTTCTGTAGGCAATGTGTGACAATATGCTCCTTGTTATGTATACCCACTGATGCTATCCATTTGTTAGAATGGATAAAGCACAATTATTGTACTGCCTCTGTCACACAATACACAGCAATGTCAGTTTATGAGGTAGACTATATTGTAAAAGTAATGAAATGTAAAACAACAGCTTTGCAATGACTCCTACCCTCAAAAAGTTTACAGTCTGAGTTTTTGTTAATTTCAGTTTAGAAAGCTGTAGTTTTGTTGATGTTGTATATTATCATTTTGTCTCTGAATTATTTATTTTACTAAAATATTTTAAGGCTGTTGTATTAGTTGCCAGTGTATTAGCTACACTAGTCTGAGTGTTGTACCATAATGGCTGAACAGTCACTATCATCATGCTCAACTCATTTTCCTAACTCATTTCCCCAGCAAATACAGACGCACTCTGCTGGAGCTGGACTTGTAGTGTGTGTAATGTGTGGACGGAGGTTTGAAGGTGCTTGGAGGAAGCTTTTTTTAATCTGACTGTTTATTCTCCAGATGAACTGCTTCAACAAAAAGCTGAGACGCACATCTCCCATACATGGCAGCAGTAAAAATGAACTGGTCCCCTCAAAACCTCCCAGGATGAACGGATGGTCGTGGCCCCCTCAGGCTTTCCAAGTAGTCGGCTGGCTGGTGTACAGCTACCTCGGGATCGTCAGCTTCGGCATCTATATCCCTCTTCTGCCTCCGCCATGGAACCATGTGGTCTATTCTGTATCCTTAACACACACAGCCGATACTGTCTTGTTGTAGCTGACTGTTAAGTGTGTAGCAATGGGTCTTTCAGATTTTAATATGTAGTCTCTGCTACAGTTTTGTTTGGGCCGCTGGACAAGACAAAGATGTTGTTGTGTGTGTATGGGCCTTAGTCACACCAGATGTCACTGTCTATAGTTCTGTAGTCTCTATAAAGCCCAAGAGACATCATTGGTCACATGTTGGATGCAGCGTGATGTCAACACTGGTTCATTTTACTCAGTCATAAGAACAGTCGATTTCTTCAGAACTGACTTCTCACACAAAAGGTTCACTTGTGTGCATCAGTTTGCAGTTTCTCTTCCTGCCATCTACTATTCTCTACTGCATTAACACATATTGCAGGATTGTTCTAAAATGTTTGCTATTTTCCTTGACTCTTGTTGTGTACAGGTGATTGGCATAGCTTTTGTTTTGCATTTTTTCACCCATATTGCAGCTGCCACTATAGACCCAGCAGATGCCAGTGTGAGGGCCAAACAGAGCTACTCAAATCCAATGCCGTTTTTTGACCGGATGAAGCAACCGCATGTCATCAAGGATCTACACTGTTATCTTTGTGATGTCAAGGTGTAAGTATTCTAATCAGTCCATTGATCGATTAATCAAGTGAAACGAAAAACAATGGCCAACAGTTTTGACAATCCATCCACCAAATATGCTTCAAATCAAATCTGCTTTTCTCTATTTTTATATTACACTGAATATCTTTGGGTTTTCCTTTGATAAAACAAGACATTTAAAAAGATCACCTTGAGAAACCGGGAATCGACACTTTTTACTTTTCTCTGTAATTTTATGAACCAAACAATTCATCCATCTAAAAAATAATTAGCAGATTAATGAATACAATTAGTATCTTTAAAAATAAATGTTTATGTGATTTTGCCTTTAAATTGACAGCTATATATTCTTGCAATCATTCAAAAGTTGTGTTTAATGATATTTACCATATTTCCGTAGTGGCCCCAACGTTAAACACTGTGGTGTTTGCAACAAGTGTGTGGAAGACTTTGATCACCATTGCCAATGGCTGAACACGTGTGTGGGGGGCAGAAACTACTGGTAAGACAACATGGAGGGACTTTCTGTTTCTGACTTCTTAGCCGATGTCTAAATGAAACGTGACATGCTGTATAAACTAACAACAGGTTTTGTGTGTTGCCTTCAGGTGCTTCTTTGTGGCACTGTGCTCTGCTACGCTTGGCGTCTTCATGCTTGTTGTTGTCATCTTGTTCATATGTATTCAGCATTACTTGAATCCAGACAGCCTCCGGACTGCCCCACAGTTTCACAGTGAGTCACCATAATATTGAACTTTGGTTTAGAAACGACTTTGATCATATTGTTGTTAAAAGCTGTTTCTGTGTAATTGTTCTTTGCTCCTTCTTTCTGTAGATCTGCTGGGGAACAGTACCTGGCTGGTGTTTTTACCCTCGGCACCCATAAAGACTAGTTCAGCTGGTCTGCTTATCTTAGCCTTTATGACAGCCATGCTGAGCATCGCCTGCCTGCTGCTGCTCGCTCATCTGCTGGGCTTTCACTTTTACCTCTGTGAGTCCCAATCTTCAAGACAGACATTTTAATTGGGTTCATTTCCCTTCATTCAGCCAATAATTCTCACTCTTCTTTGCTTTTCAGTTTTTAAAGGCATAAGCACGTATGATTATATAAAGACGCAGCGCCAAAAAGAAGGCAGAAAATCTGAATCAGGAAATCCAAAAGATGTGAAAATCCATAACAAGACCCTACAGGTGAGACGCGTCCTGCCTCACACTGGGTGACATTTAGTTAATCTCTTGTGTGTAAAAACATTTAGTTTTCCCTTTTCTTTTTTTTTAAAGAGTCAAGATACCTCCATTGACTGTGAGCCAGCATTATCACAGAGTTCAGGGTAAAACACATTCCTTACAGATCTTGTTGTACTCTTATTTAAGCTAATTTGGAGGTGAGTTAATATCACTCTGGTTTTCCTGCAGTACCTGCAAATTGGGAAATAAAGGCTCACTCGCAAGCCGATTTTCAGAGTCCATATGCACTGAGGTAAGTGTGTCTACTTTGTATATCTGTTGAATTATTTGACATGCATCAAATGGGTTATCAAAATAACAACTTATCACTTTTCATAAAGTAAAAAAAGGTGCTTTACAAAGACATAGAAAAATCTAAAGATAAAAGTATACTACATTGAAATCTGCTTGCTTTCCAGTTGGAAACCTTGAGGAAATCGGCAGATAAAGAGAACCGTTTCCTTTATGGCACAGAAGATCCCACAAAAAACACAGCAAGTAAGAGTTTGACAATTATATCTACACTTTTTTTGTTGCATCAGCCTAATTTAAGATGCCAGAGATGCAAAAAGATTACAAAATACAGAATGATTGGACTGCATTACAGTGTAAATTAAAGTATTTATACGTTTCAATTGCAGACATATTTAAGGACTTTTGTCAGCATATGGATTACAAATGAATATTAGTCCATACAGTTTGTAAATAATACTTGTCTCCTCTTGATTCCTGTGTCTAATAGTGGAATTGAGCAACAGTAAAAGCAGGATGCCCGACATTGAAGAGGCTCAGAGCGGCGTTGTGACGTCTGCTCACAGAGTTCCAGGAGTGCAGGACCCTCTGGGCAGCGCCGTTATGACTCCAGATGACACTTAGCAGTACCTGATGTCCGTGTGGCGGTGCATCGGGATAAGCTGCTCTGAGGATTTATTATTTTATCAAGAAACATTTGCGACACAATCACATGGAGCATTGTGATATGGACAGTGGACGTCTTGAACTTCATGGAATGTTTTTGTCCTCCAGTGGATATTTTGTATGCAGTCTGAACTGTGAAGCCGTCATTGTGTTTCTTTTCCTTTTTTTTATCTGCACTTTTTTATGACAACCTTTTGAATTATTTAAAGCGTTGTTTTATCTCACCGACTTTGAAAAAAGAGAGCCAAAGTCCGGCCCCACTTCCAGGTCGGCCTCTATTCCACTACACTGAGTCAGATAAACAGACAGATTTTGGCATGTTTCTCAAACAGTTTACTGTTCATATTCCAAGCCAAATGAGATCAAGAAATGTACTGGCAGTAACTTTCAGACTCTTATCATTGTATCTGATGTCCAAAGAGAAAGCCTTTTATGGCAAAATGAATAGTCTCACTAGAAGTAGTGGAGCGCACTGTGAATTGTATTTATTATTTAATGATTTCTCAAAGCTGTTGGTGTTTAGAGACTGTTTTTGCTAGATTTGATAGTAAAGATTTTAAATTAATTGATTTTGATTTTCTTCATTAGCTAATTTGACCACACAGTGGCACTTTCCAGCCAAAGTCCCAGCTTCTACACGTTTTTACAGTTTCTAACACTGTATTCTGAGCTAAATACTGTACAGTACGTATCTGAATGGATTTGTCAGCAACATACAGTATGAACCACTGATTCATCAGCAAAAGTGGGTAAAACAAAGCATTGAAGAGGGTCCTTTGATTGAGATCCAAATAGAGCCCTGCACGTTGATGTAAAAAATCATTTTCAGCCATTCAGCGAGATGGAAAAAACATCACCAGAGAGATCGATGCTCAAGGCTACAATTTTTAGGGAAGAATTTCCACCTTAAATTAATTTTTTCGCGAGTAAAATAAAGTGTATCACCAACTGATAATCAAATGGATGTGTCTAGAGGGGAACAGCACATATTTTTAACTGGTTGTAGCCACAGAAATTGACCTGGAAGAAGTCAGAACTGAGCTTTTTCTGCTGAAATTCAATGATGAGGAAGGATATGTGTTGTTATTCTATTTAACATCTCTGCTTGAACTCTTTGTTGAAATACAGCTGTAGGCTGTTACATATTTTACCACTAGATGGCTATCAGCAGCATTAATGTAAAAAGAGGAATAAGAAATTATATTGTTTTAGTGAAGTATATTGGTATGAGTTAACAAAAAAGGACCATTATTCTATGTTTTCATTCCACAACTAAAACAAGTTGTGTAAATAGGAATTATTTGAGGGGGATATTTAAAAAAAGTGCATCTTTTAACCACACTGTGGCGCAACTGAAGCAGCCTAAGATAGACTATACAGTATTATGTCATGCAATGATTTCACTCAGTCCAAGCTGTTTTCATCATGATCTGAGCCCTTCCTTTTGCTTATGGACATGCACATTTGCCCCTGTGGTTACATTGTATATTGGAGATCTTGGCAACAATATAATTCAAACCATGACATAAAGTCCGTCTAACCATCTACTTGTTATGTAACACATTAGTTCACTGGACATCAGATGAGTAAGGTTTCGATGTATTGGCAGGATAAGCATCCATTTTCCAGCAGAACATTTCTCATCATGATTTAAAGTGTAGTTCCTCGAGTCACTTCCATATGTGCACCAAGTGTTCAACCAGGACATTAAGACATCATTTCCCTGGACAAGAGCCAGGAACAGGGTGACCTCATATTTAAAACAAAACGTTGTATTGCTACTGTATGTGACCATTGGACTCTCATGTCCTCATACTATAGTTCATGATCACAGAAAGGGTTAATCCTGGTTGGTTATTAATGAAGCTGCAACGACCCTCCACAACAACAACAAAACCTGGTCATTTGTTTACATGTTCCATCACCGCCTCTTGAATCACCTAAAGATGCTCCAAAAGGCTTGTTTATCAGGGCTCCACTGACCGTTGTGGCACCATCACAGCTCCAGCACCGAGGCGAGAGGAAAACAGCCCGTCGCAGAGCGCGGCAGCCAATCAGCGGGCTGGTTTCTCTTCAGCATCTCGGAGGGGAGCGCACAGTCGGGCAGACGGGAGATCAGCGGCGGGGAGGAAACACACTTCAGGAATCCGCGACGCGCAATTATGCTTTTGTGAATTTGACGGAGGATTACATCAACACCAGGTGATTAAACACGGATTTGGCACTTCTTAAAGTTGCCTGTTTTGGCTCATTGCGGTCATGCATGTTTTCACACTATAAAGAATTCGATGACTGCATTCCAGCCCACACAAATAGATCTGACAAGGTGTTTGTTGTTTTGTTGTCATGTCTCTGCACGTTTGCTTCCTGTAGAGGCTTCTGAGTTTGCAACTTAAGGGACATTTAAAGCTGTAAAGACGTTTAGGCAGAATTCTACGCCTCGAGTTTCAGATTGAGAATTTAAAGATTTTAAACAAATATTTAGCTATATTGCCATGTTTGGTATTGACATAGGCTACATATGCATTACTCGGCTGGCAATAACACATTGATCATGTGGGGATCTGACATTATGTAACACGTTTCGCTCATACACCCTCGTTTCAGCAGGAGCTGCAGCAATGTCCGCTAACATAAACACGAGCTCTCTGTTGATCTTTAAAACGCGGGATCAATGACAGCCACAGTGAAGGCTTCTGCATTAAGAACCGTTATTGGTTAAAGGCAATGATTGACAATGCGTCTGGCCTGTGGCTACAGCTTGCATGCCAATCTGCTGGGTTACATAATTATGCATGGAATGTAGGCCTTACTTCATTAGCCTGCTGATTCCATGCAAATTAATGTCATAGAGGAGTGAATATGGTCGTAAAGGCCATGCAAAGACCCCTACGAAAGAAATATGTTCATTCCTTCTCAGTTATTTTGTTATGTATCTGCGTGCTCCCCATAGGTTGAATTAAGTATGCATGAGAAGAAGACACAGTCACTGACTTTGTCCCAGATTTCTCTGTTCTAGGTTTCATTGCATCGGTCTAAGAGCCTATGGGTTCTGTCACAAACAATTAACCTCAGAGAGTAATTTACCCTATTTTGTTTGTGATGACTCAATCTCAGGTCAGGTTAGAAAATAAAGGGGGTTGGGTGTTGTAGTCCGACAGCATTTTCTTTACTACACAAAACCGTGGGGCAATCTTTTGTTCATGTTGACCTTACATTGGGGAGTAGCTGCCATGGTGTTTTTCACTGCGTTATCTTTTAGCATTTGTGGCTGCTATAAAAGAAATTGCAACAGAAACACAGATGGCACTAACATTGCATTGCAAATACTTAAAAATGAGTTGAATTAAGACATTATACAACCCAGTCTGGCTTCTCAAAACCTTAAACTAGACTCAGAGATAATTTGCTGCCTCTCTCTCTCCATGTGAGCCATGTCCTGGACACTTATCCTGTCTCAGGCATCATGTATTCCTCACAAATGTGGGGTTGCATAAGGACCCCCGGCTGTCTTTACACTGCCTTATAACTCTATTTGGCCTGCTGTTGCTGCCAACAATAACCACTGTAGCTTGTTGCTAACATCTTGTTTTTCTTCTGCTCAATGCTTGCCAAGATGTTTGACTCACAGAGCAGTTAAAGGGGTTTAGGGAGGCGAGGACTGACAGAGACAGCGTGGTGGTGACCTCAGAGTCGAGCTGCAGCAAGCTGATGTCATGCCTTCTCTCTTTGTGTCTTTGGGCAGGGGGGGAGTGAGGTTGGAGGACTGGCCAAACTGGGAAATGGTTAAGACAAATTAACACAAAAAGTAAGGAAATGTGTGTTTGGTATAGATTATTTATTTGTTGTCACAATGCTTCTTGGCAATACATCTTATACCCTTGGAACCTGTTTATTTACCTTTCAAATGGTGTCACATTTGTGAGGAACATGCATTTGTGGGATGAGCAGCAGAACTGAGTATGTGGGTTACGCCCATAAAAAATTACAAACCATTTGAAAGGTAAATAAACAGGCTTTCCAATGGTATAAGATTTATTGCCAAGAAGGATTGTTACAATAAATAAATAATCTACCAAACATAGACTTCCTTACTTTTTGTGTTAAGTGTATTTATTGGTGTCTGATGGGGCAATCTTGAGACCATGTTGAAGCACAGGGATTCATCAACAAATTCAAAGAAAAGACCAAAACCAACAATGTGTTTGTCCCTTTTCAGTTCTCACTAATTCTGTCTGAATCATAAAAACACATTACTGAAGTGATTTTCTTCTAAATATATGATGTAATTTTACAAAAAGTGATTATATCCTACAGCATCTTCTTAATAAACATTATTCAAACATGACCAAGTGATTGATTGAGAAAATAGTCAGCAGTCCTAATAAACTACACTGTGGCATTGGGTGAATTGGAACCTAAATGGTCATAGTAATATATTAAAAAAAGAAATCCCACATGCATCGGTCACTGTTTCCTTGAGACCTATGTGAGGTCATCAAACACTGCCTACAAGCATAGAATGAAGTCATCAAATCTCGTTTGTCTAACCATCAGTTCAGATCACCAGAATATATATATTTTAATAATAATCCAATTTCACCAGCTTGAACCATGAAATGATTGCCATCTCTGCTTAACATATGATTTACAAGTACATTGATGATTTAAATAGTTAGCAATTACTTTCTGTTGATCGGCTTATCAATTCATTGACTCATTGTTGCAGTTCATTGGCTCAATGGTTGAGTTTCAGGGCAATAATCATGGTTTACGACTGCTAGTCACCAGAATAGGTAGCAAAAAGCTGGAAGACATGGTGTACTCTAGATGGAGCTCAGTTTTAAGCACACTGGGGGGGGGTCCAGTGTAGTAATGATGGTCTCTGCTTTATGTTTTGATTGTCTGACACAGTCACATTCCTGAGCAGCTGCCTGGAAAGGACAGTGATCCAGATAAAAAAGCAGATGGGATCTCTGAAAGCCCACTTACTACGATGGCGTGACGAGGGAATACACCTCAGTTACACACTCTGCCCTCACACACTCGGACATATTCACATCATTCTGGGAACAGTGTCATCATGTCGTTGGTGAAAAACCATCTGTCGGGCTAGCAGTTAAAACTCAAAATGTAATTTATTGGTGTTTAAGTCTGCATGTTGTCTACCAGCTGATCTCCCCCCTGGAGAATGAATAGAATGTTCTAGCCATGGCTGCGTATTGTTGCTATGAATAGATGCTGTTCGAAATGGGTCAATTTATGGTTAAAGCACTCATCTGTGCAGTGTATTGCCAGAAGGCGAGTGTATGTAAGCATGCTGTCATCCAGTCACAGATTTGTCTCTGGAGATCTGCTCTTAACCAAATGGCTTCTCATTTGTATATGGCAAAGTGGGGCACAGGAAGAAAAAATATTTACAACGATGTTTTTTAATGTCTCATTCATTTTTGTATCAGTTTAAGAATTTTGCCAAATTACCAAATTGGTGAAGTAGACCTTCACTGCACCAAATTATTCTCCAAACTGTCTATATACTTGATCATAATAGCATTACAAAAGCAAACTGAATTTCCTTTCATCTGCGTATGTGGAGTACTTGAGGCCACTGAACTGTGTTAATGACCTCCCTCATGTATTGAACATGATGTGGTTTGAGGAGGCTCGTTGTACTGAGGACTTAGACACTTGGAACTACTGACTATAATTTGGAGGAGGAGAGTGAAAAGATTCCTTTGTTTCACATCGATTTTGCTGCTGTCATTGAAGCACAAAGGAAAACACACAGCAAGTGGCTACTCTATTTGAAGGATGTGCATCCCACATAAAAGTAAATGTAATATGATGAAACCTCAGTTTGGGCATCACATCTAAACACAAAGGAGATTTTACTCTGCTTGAGGTTTCCATGTTAGTAGGTTATAATTGGAATAAAATGTTTTAGTACAGTATAATTCTGTTGAATATCAATTAAACCCTCCATAAACATATAATCATACTTGAACTACTTTTTTAAGAACAGAAAATACAATGATCTAAAGTGAATGTGATGTAATTAGCGCCAAGTAGATTCATTCAATTCAATATTTGTTTGTTTTATCCACAAAGGCAATTGGATTTTTGTGACCCAAGTGAAGCAGACATGAAGTCATTTCCACAAACAGAACTTAACATGCAGGATTCTGTTCAAGAAGATGTTCGGCTGATGGTGAAACTGTTTTAAAAATGGATAAATTATTTTATAAGTCCATTGAGACAAAAAATGATTGCAGATTATAAGGATCAAAATAGTTTAGGTTGTTTATCATGCAGATATTCTCTGGTTCTAGCCTCTCAAAGTTTATAATTTGCTGCTTGTATGTTTTTTATTACCTTAAATGAAATACCTTTTGGTATTGGACATTGACATTTTATTGACTAAATTAGTAAATGATTAATACAAAATAAATCAACAGATTACTTAGTATATACAGTAATTTCAGCCTTTGACATGATTTTATTAGTTCCTAACAATGGTGTCTCACATTGAGCCTGTATGGCACAGTTATAAAAGGTGACACTTTTTTATTTATTACTTTAAATATGTTTATTTATTTATTTTCTAAGTGTAGTTAAAAGTATAATCATATGATTAAGTGGAACTTACTGATTTTATTATTTTCTTTATTAACAACTGATCAACTTGTAGTGGTATGTACAAATAGTTTGTGGTATGTAAACTTATAAAAACCATAAAATCTTCAACAACCACTATCTGGATTGTCTTGGCCTGAGTCCTCGATGACATATGACTACAAAACCCTGCCATCAATAGGGGTGCTCTGCGATGTCCCCATGTGTGTGTGTGTGTGTGTGTGTGTGTGTGTAGAAACGGGCCTGGGTCAGACAGAGGAGCCACTTTAGACAATGGGGTCCCAGTGTCTATTGCTCTGAATGCCATTATTCATAGACATTAATAATCTCTCCTTTTTTCTCCTAAGAATCGACATCTTGATTATAATGGCTTTATGCAGTGTCAAGCTTGGAACTTTTGTACCAATTTAAGTGTTGACTGTACTTAGCAAGGTCACATTTGTAATTGTTGGTCACAGAGTCGTGGACACACACCCCTTCGCTGTACAGTACATACAGTACTTGGGGTGAGTGAAAGCTCTTTATTGGAGACTTGAGGGACTTGCTTGAAACTTTGCTAGCTGGAGCAGACGGTTTGCTCCACGGGACACTGTATCTATCTACGGCTTGCATCTTGTATGAGCTGTAGCGAGTAAAACCACAGTTTTTTTTTAGATTTGGTTTGTGTGTACTTTGCTACACACAAGCATTAAGGATGCTGGGCTAAGTATGGGAACTGCTGGAAGGTGAGAAGAGCACCTTCACTTGCTACAAGTTTAGGATTACATTTTCTTAATGGAAATAGCAGAGGGACTTTTTTCTGTTTTGGATGACAGTAATTTGACTTTAATGAATAAGGACTTTTGTAAGCCCTTCAGATGCTTCTGCTCTGTCAGGATGATGATGTGCTGAGAGAGAAATCCCTGAAGTCAGACCAAATGAAATCATCCTAATCAAGAGAGGGAAGCGAAGTTGTTAGCGTGCGAATATAATCCTTTAAAGATGTGTCCCAGCAAACAATTACTCACACGGATGTTATCTTGAAGTCATTTGTTAATAATGATGAGGAGGAGGACATTTGATCTTGTTCCTTTTGAGGCTGTAGTTATTATTAGAAGGTTTCCCTCAATGTAGTTGTGTTTGTGACTGGATTGGACATTCTTTCAAACATAATCGTGTATCTATTGAACCAGGACTAAAGAGTGTCTAGGACAAGAGTGGGATATCGTACTTTGTGTTGTGTTGTGTCGTGTCAAGTGCTTTAATGTATTTTTTTCTTGAAATCCCTTCCACTCACATACAGTATGTACAGACACTTCCTCTCACCGTATTCACCTCCATTTTCATCTTTTCCACAGCACAAAGAGAAAACAAATGTCAGCTAGTCCAAGCACTGCACAGAAGGAACCAAATTCCCACACAAGCATGGCAGACCAGAAGTAAGTGTGCAGAAGTCACGTTATGAGTCTTCACTTCACATTTTGTGTGTTGGTTACAAATATCCATCTGCTCTCTTGGTTCTTGATTCGTCCGCCTTCTGAATTCCACAAGGATCTATTTATATCCTTCTCCTCTTTGCCAGAACACGCAAGACATCTGTGCATTCACAGAACCGCACCTCTTAAGATTCTAATCTTGCCTTGTTACACAGAAGTACCTAACAAAGAGGGGACAGCAAGTTGTGTCTTGACCTTAAGGAATGACACTTTCTGTGGAAGGGTTTGCCCGTTGCAAGTCTTGCAGAAGAGGCTTGGATCAGATGTAACTCTGCCAAAAACTCCTCCTCTTCTTCTTTTTCTAGTGTAAAATATATCTGTTCCTTTTTATTAAATGCTTAGCTTTTTATGTAACTATATAGGGAATTATAAAAAGCTGTTGCTTGATGTTCAGCCAATAGGACCTCTTGTAATCTGTAGTCTGTCATCGGAAAGTGTTGCTGCATTTTCCATTACATCACCTCAACTGAAAACTGCCATGTTCACCTCTTACAAATGATGTTGTATTTTCCCCCCTCAGAGACAACATAGATGACTTTAAAGTTCAGACAGCCAAGCACCCTAACTTGGGCTCGGCCCCTTTACGGCCACACAGTGAACAGTCTAAAGACCGGATGTCCAAAAGGCTTTCTACTGACTCTAATGGGACCAGTGACGGAGGGGTGGGCTCGTCCACACCGGTGGAGGTGACCGCTTTAGAGGAGTCGTTTCGCCGCTTCGCCATCCACGGTGATACTCGCGCTACAGGCAAGGACTTGCACGGCAAGAACTGGTCCAAGCTCTGCAAGGACTGTGGCGTGATCGACGGTAAAAACATCACCCTCACTGATGTGGACATCGTCTTCAGCAAAGTCAAGTAAGAAAGGCAAACTGTACATTTGAACTACAGTTCACTGTATAAAAGAACCTTTCATTTATCTGGCAACATCTGAGCCTGCAGGCAAGCCACGACATGATTCTTATTCTTAATAAGAGATGACTTCATGCTTACACACTCCGATTAGCATGCCCAAAGGTCACTAAAGTGATGCAAGTATGGTTGCATTGTGGTTGTTAAGAACATAAGAAGTCTTTGGACTGCACTGTAGGAATGCTTTTATTCTATTGTCTTTGTTTTGAGAAACATTCTTCTGTGGCATCGTCTTTGGCAAGGAGGCTTCGACCTTATTAATAACACCTAATTAAAGTGTCAACTGTTTTATTAGTGTCTGCACCAACAAACATTAGGCCAACAATGTTTGTCAAATTAGCAAATGCAAGGGACTCCAACCGCACATATTTTGTAGTGACTGATTTCCGTTTTTTAGGCCGTTTTGCCTTCTTTTCTTATATTAACTCGGCTTGACTGTCCATTAGAAGCAGCCAGAGCAAGAGGCCAGGATGGCTCATCCTGTATCTCCTCAGGCATGGTTTATTCATCCTTTACTGTCAGATTTAAATGGAGTAGAGTCTAATAAAACCTTAATATTATTTAACCAAAAAGGAAAAATGTTTCTTCTGCTGTCTAAGATTACCAGAGTACTATAGAGTATATTTGGACTATTGGTCATAGCACTATGAGAGATAAGTGTAGTGTTGTGAATGTCATATTATTGCCCACATACCATAGGACACAGAATAAAGCTGATGTAAGAAAGAACATGGCTGTTACAATGCAGGTTTATATTTTGTTTCCCGCAATGTTCATTCATACATAAAGCAGCTTTGATTTTTTTCCTGGTTCAATGTTATGAATAAAGATTATTCTGCTAGGCAGCACCAGAATAAAACAGTATGGCTTGAAGACACACTCTGCAGGAATGAGAATCTCACATTGAATCAGTGAACTTTCCATAATCTGCTGGTGTGTAACAATTATCCAATCTTAGTCACCTTATATAATGAGGTGATCCAAAATGGTTTGAATGTGATTTTTTAGAAAGTGTTTATCCCTGTTTTTATAACATAAAAATGGTAGTCCTAAAAATGTATTTCCATCAAACTGGACTTACTGACTTCAACAGTTATGAATATAGAGTATGTGTGAAATGGCTATATTTGAGGGATTTCAGATTTGTTGTGTATCACATCGAAAGAAATAGAGAAATAATTATAAAATAAGTATTGTACTTTAAAATCAATTGGCACACCACCAGTTAGTTAAAAAAATAAACAGCCTAAATATTGTAAGCTTGTATCATAAATAGTAAAAATAGTCTCAAAGAGGAAGCCAGATTGTCACAACCCTATGTTCAAAGATTTTCTAAATAGGTTTTGGCTGCAGAATAGAAAATGCAAACTAAACCATAAAAACAGGTTCTTGAAGTCTGCATGTTTTCATGATTTGTAGTATTTCTGCAAATAATAATGGACATTCTCTGTTGAAAGATAATAAACAACTCAATTATTTCAGCCATCCCTTTTTACAGTAAGCTTGAGATGTGTTTTATAAAGCATAAAAAGTATACTGGTTTGTCACGTGGTGAGTCAGACACCAGTCAACACCTTTACTGTTGGCATGGCAATGGTTGTCAATGTTTACTGTCGTTAACATTTCTTGGCAAGAATATCAAGTGAATTTAAAGATGACAGCATGATTTAATCTTGTTTACATCCCACTCCTTTGGAGAGCAATATTTGGAAATATGCTTAAAAATATGGTGCAAGCACTTTAGGGGGAAAAAACATGTTTCCTGTCATACATGCTATCTGTGGTGAACCTGTGTAATGTTGTTTACACATTACAGCACACTATGTTAACACATATAGTCATTGGTTCTACTGAGGGTCCCAGATAGCTTGCTTTCTGAACCACAGCCGTGTCGAGGAGGATATTACAGTATACTTTCCGACAAAGCGTGTGGTGAGCCAGAGGTACAGACTGGGGGAAGGGCTCGTGTTCGTGTCTTTTCTGACTCCAAGCATGACTGAGCCGGGGAGGGCTGCCATGCCACAGATGCAGATCTCCACTTTGCCTTTAATCAGTGTCAAAGCTCTTTGCTTGCACACGAAAAATTAAACATCCTAATTAGCACTGGCTGATCACAGTACGGCCGAATGAATCTGTATCTGTTGTGGGTGTGGAAGTCTGCTGCTCCACATTGAGTCTCTGCTGTGTTGTTACTCTGCTTTGAGCCAGAACACCATACTATGGATGAGAAAATAATCTGGTGTTGACTAATTAACTGCACACATGGTGTTATGGTGGCTTCTTTTTCTAGGCTTTCGTTGTATTTCCTCATCACTGAACATGATCGTAGGCGGTGCAGGAGCGTATTAGCATGACACAGATTCAGCCAAGTACTGTGTCAGATCCATATGGATCATGTACTGCAGATGGTTGAACTATGTAAATAAACAGCAGGTCAGATCCCACAGTAACCAGAAATAAAATAAAGCTCCACTCGCCTCTATAACCTTTGTCGTTCCTTACCTTATCACAGCCGCCTCAGATTGTGATTTACTGTTTATTTACACAGTTTAATAATATATGTGCTTGGGGGAATGTAATAGCTCAGTGTGGGGAGATGTGCAGAGGACACACAGTTATCTTGCTCGGACAGAAGCGGCAGCTGGAAGTCCAGTTCCCCTCTGACAATAGACAGCATGGAACAGGCGCAGAATGGAGCTCTCAAATGTTCAACACTGATGGATCGCCCAAACAAAACCGCTCACTAGATGAGTCAAATTAATAATAAACCCAAACATCCCTGTTTACTGTAGCTTGTTGCTATGACAGCAGGTTGCCCAGCAGGACTGAGGGTTTTATGGACTGTTGTTTAGGTGATTTATTACCACGGCAATGGCTGTTTGTGTTTGTGTTTGTGTTACTATGCACTTTTTACATGGAAGTAAAACGGGCAAAGGGCCAGTTAAACAACTGGAGCACTCTCTGAAGGAGAGTGATTTATGATGATGATCTGTGGTACAGTACTGTCAGTAGTTACGACATTATATTTTATTAATGAATACAGGGATTCAGCAGGTTGAAATGTCCAGAGCTGGAATGAAACATCAGGGTGCTGGATCCTGACTGCAGCTGAAGTGTAAAACTGGACAATATGATCCATGATATGAAGAGACAGTCACACAGCTGACAGGTGTGTGTAAATGTGTGCGGTTGCTCAGACAACAGTTGAGTACAGGGCGACAACAACAAACCAGTGAAAGTTTTCCCACTGTTTATCTCAGCAGGATACCATCTCCATGCTGTCTTACATCTGCCATGTTGAAGTGATCACACATGGCTCTGTGTACACTACTGTCTACTTTTAAGCTTTCAAACTTTACTGAGAGGCTGGAGAAAAGATGATAAAAATATGACTTTTCTGTCCCTAGAGACTGTAGTTTTATCCTATACTTAAGCTCCTTTTCCGCCCTTATTACAGGAAGAAATCCTGTCGCACCATCACATACGACGAGTTCAGGGCTGCACTTGCTGAGCTGGCAAGAAAGAAATACAAAGAAAAGACTGGAGAGGAGGCCGAGGCCGAGGTCTTCAAGCTGATTGAGGGAAAGACGCCCGTCATTGCAGGAGTCACGGTAAGACTGAAAGGTCCCATATTATGCAAAAAAGAAATTATGTCTTTTATACATAAATATGTGTCTCCGGTGTGTCAGGAGACTCACAATGTGTCCGACAATATGACCCTTTCTCTTTTAGTTTTTACCAATATCTCTAAAAGTGGGGGTACAACAGAGCTGAACCAGATTTGCAGACGGCCCTATCAGAAACGTTGCTGTATCAGTAACAATGCGCAACGTGTTTTGGAAGTAATATGGTCTGTTTTTACATTAGCAAGCATTGCTAACACTCAGAGCTAATGCTGTACTGGAGAGAGTATGTGTAAAAAAGCCAGATATAAGAAGGTACTCACCTTGTGGTAAGCCTGCAAGAGAAAAAGCATTTGAGCTCCATACTGTTTCAGGAATAATCCTTGATGTGGTTTGGAACATAATATGGCTTTTAATCACGGCAGCATTTAGCTGAGAATCTGGGTGGAAACCTTTCACTTCACAGAGGAGAGCTCATGCATGCTCCAAAGGGGCGTGGCCAGCAGCAGCTCAGCCACATTTAAAGCTACAGACCCAGAATCAGCAATTTACTAACAGGGCGGAAATAGAGGGGTATGAGGCATGGCTAGAATGCGTGATCTGTTTGGTATTTTGAGCAAAACACTTCATAGACATGTTTTTTATATATCTGAGACCTATAATATATGCCTAAAAATGTTATAATAGGAGACCTTTAAATGGGTCAATATTAGACTTTTTAAACCAGGAGTCTTGGGATAACCTTAAATGTTTTCTTGACTTCCTCACAGAGGGCCGTGGCTTCCCCGACGGTGAGCCGTCTGACGGACCCAACCAAGTTCACAGGGTCACACAAGGAGCGTTTTGACGACACTGGCCGCGGGAAGGGTAAGGCTGGACGAGTGGACGTGGTTGACACTTCTGGATACGTCTCGGGGTATAAACATCGAGGAACGTACGAAAAGAAATTGAATAAACTCGCTTAGGGCAAACCCATGTGAGGGCGGGTAAGGAAATAAACATTTGGACAACTACTAGGATAATTTTCTATTAAAAGAGTACTCAAGGAAAGCACAAAAGAATAGGATTTCATATTATATAGGATTTCCCCAGCCATCTATTTTGTGTGTGCGTGTGTCTGTGTGCGTGTAGAAGAGTCGTTTTTGAGTTCCTCTCTTTGAGAAGTGTGAGAACTGGAAAACTGTTTACATCTATTTTTACAATGTCATCACCAGCTGGTACATTCCTGTCTGATCGCAAGTTACTGCCAAACACTGAAGAGAACAAACGAGAGAAACTTACGCTATGAATATTAAAGATTTGTTTCATGATAGGGCCTTATAATATTTATTGAGCACAGTGAACAACAAGCCAAGAAAAACAAAAGAAAAGTGGGACAACAGTTGAACGAATTAACATTGCACTTTTTAATGGAGATTTTTCTATTCCCCTATTTAGCTAAAGAAATGCATTTTGTATTTGTTGTGCATCGTTTCAATGGGAATTGGCACACTTTTGACAGAGATATTATCAATGTTGAATTATTTTGAAAACTTAAATTGTTCCATCTGTGTTAATTGTCAGTCTGCCATCCCCACTTGTCAACTGTTATTAAGTCTTAAAAATAACCTGCTGTTCATTTTTTTTTTTTTAGAAGCTCACACTGTTATTTGTATTATTTGCCTTCAGCTCAAACCAAGAAAATATCTTAAGAATTTTGAAAACTAGTTTTTTTGCTTAGATAAAAAGTAGTTAACTGTTAGACTGAAACATTTTGGACTTTTGCCATATCCTCTTACTTTTGTGACTATGTTAAACATATAAACTCCTTCCATGCAAACCTTTTTAAATATGCCTGATTATAACACTTCAATAAAAAAATCTAAAGTAATCTAAGATAATATATTTCCTCTTTCGCCAACATGCATTTTGAATTTGAAATTAGTGAATTCAGTTTAAGAAGCTCTTACCACATTAGATGAGCTCAGTTGTACAAGATTGTATTTTTAACATTTTACTTATATTTCCTCATTAGATTTCTATACATTAGTTCTAATATATTTGTGGTAAGATTGTGTATTCTAAAAGTTTTAGCCACATGGCTTAATTTATGACACAACTACATATGTTGTTGTTTTCTGTATTGCTGTACTTTGTGCATGTTTATGTATATTGCATTTGATTCAGAAGCATATAGACGAGCAGGAGTTTGTCATATCTTATTGCTGTGAGGACAGACTACTGGACAGACTTCAATATTTTACTGCTAAAAAATACTAAGTGATGTGAAATTGTGGGATTATGATAAAATATTGTATTGCTTTGAAATCAATATGTATCAACTTGTACATACAAAGTCAGCTACACTCCAACGTTAATATATTTGTCTGTTGGTAAAGATTAGGAGTACCCATTATGTGCGGTACTGTCATCCAAGGCACAAAATCAACTGAAAACAAAAGTAGGGTTCTACTGTTGTATCCTTATGTGATATATGAGATGAAAGGGAAATAGCAAACAGGTGACATACTTTTGTAGAATATTTTTCCAACATAGTGACAGTGTTTTGGTCACACACTACCTGTAGCCTCAGCTAATGAAGAATCATGCATTAAAACTAGCAGCTATTACTGTGTTAGTTGTGTCTGCTGCAGTAGCTTGACCTGTTTTCTGTGCTTTATGCCAAATACTGTGCACCTTTAATGTCTTTTGTATTTTGCAAATAACTTTTAATGTACTATTGTGCCCTGGTGCATGCAGTGTGTTCTTGTTCTTTAGACCTCTTAATGTGTGTTCATGATTTGTAGTGCATTACTTAAAATAAAAACCAACCCCAGAACCTCTGCTAAGCATGTTTCAGGGTGTCAGTCAAAACACTGTTATATTTGTATGGCTTTTTTTCAGGAGTACGTGAAACTCCCTGTTTCAATGTTACTAACCTGTAATATTAACTTGTAAAAACAAGCTACATTCAGTTTATGTAGTAGCATCCCCATGCTAACCTGGTTTGCCAGGTCTCGCATTAGTGCTTGTGAGAGGAAAGTGCATCTGTGTGTGTGTAGCTCTCCAGCCCGAAGGCAGAGATATAAATAAAGTCACAGTGCAGCTGGAATCTAGATGCATTCATTCCACTGCAGCGTACAAAGCAGAAGAAGACAAGCGACCTACAAAAAAGAAAAAGGGGAAAAGCAGAGAGACACAATCTTGCTACTGATCCAGGAAATACATTATGACCTTCTCACTAACATTTTCCCCCTTAAAACCATTTAACATAACAGCCCTGTCACACACTTATACACAAACTTCCTTGGATGAATTGCCTTTGCCCATTACTGTTTACATCAAGCAAACACAGCCTATACAGATTTTTGTTTAAATAATAAACACATTTTTTTTTTTTCAAAAGGGCTTGGAACTTAATACACACATATTAAAAAGGATATGAAGTAAAAAAAAAAAAAGCTTTAAAAAATAGTCTGTAGCTGCAGGGGCTTGTACAGTGAATGCAATGCTAATATGACGCTCAGCAAAGTCTTGCTTTGAAATGTCTATCCCACTGTGCATTCCTCTTTAAAGTTCTCCACTTCCCTTCAGCTCAGCTAGCAAACACTCGTTGGTAGCCACCAGAGACCTGCAGTACAGAAACAAATCATAAACTAACCACGTAGAGCTGGTGTAAATGTGAGAACATCATTCATTGTGAAAACCTAAAAACAAGTATTAACACCAAGATGTCTACATCTTCTTACCGGTGGCTTTCATGCAACATATTTGACATCCTTGACTTTCTCAGACTCATGCACTTTCTCCTTCAACCCCTCGATTTCTTTCCTCAGCTCCTCCACTTCAGTCTGGGCCTCTGAGGATTTTTAACGACAAAGTGTGAGTTTTTCTAAAGAAAGCAGCCTAATTAGCACTTCATTTCTCCAATTGGCGTACACACCCACCTTTAATCTGAGAGATTGGTGAACTTTTCATCATGGACTTCAGATACTGTCGTTCTAACTTGATGAGCTGTTTCTGTAGGCCGACATTTTCCTCCAAGACAATCCTCAGCTGCTCGTTAAGTTTGGCCTGTGTTTGAGAAAATGAAATAATGACAGTAAGTTTATCAAAACTATCAAGGCCTCCTAAAGCTCAACATTGCCTTCTAGTGATGAATCCACTCACAACTGCACTGCGAGATTCCTCCAGCTGATCGGAGAGGTTACGGACTTCAGTTTTGTGCTCCTCCTCACGTGCAGCCGCTTGAAAGCTCAGTGCATCAGTTTCCCTTCTTAAGGTCCTGACCTCTGCCTCCCGACTGGAAATATCGTTTTCCATCATGGAGAGGATCTGGACTGCCTGAGCTAGAGCCACAAATAGAATAATGAGAAGACATTCATTATCTTTAGGCTCCTGTAATCAGATAACACATTCCCCAAACTCACACAGGAAGTTGTTGTTATGATGCAGCGACCGCTCTCCAGTCCAGTGTTTGTCCACGAGGTTGAGGAGCATCTCCAGAGGTTTCCTATAACCACCCTGGGATGTGAGATAAGATATTTGTTTATAAGAGAAAATAAACAACTTTAAATATATTTTGTACAAGTAGGAAGAACAACAAAAAAACGCAAAAGAGTAGACTTAATTAATTTCCCACCCTTTTTTTCTTCTCCCCTTGCGGCTGCATGCTGGATTCCCCTTCTGTCTTATTGAAGCTAGAGTAGGTCAGTCTTGGAGGATGTAAGATGGGGTTGGAGGGGTCAGACAAATTCAAACCAGGACCACGTGGACTGGGAGGGCCGGATATTAACTAATGAGGAACTATGACGATGACTTGGATCTGAAAAACATTTGAAAACACATTTAACTACATGTCAAGAAAGTGGGTTGTGGATGTGTATTAATGTCTGACAAAGGATTGTATTCAGTACAGACATTATTCTTACCAGGATTAGGGGTATAATGTCCCTTTGCTGCTTGCCTGGTGTGCTTGGCGAAGTCCTTTTGCTTTCCAGACACAGGTCTGTGTTTCTCTACATAGGGGCCAAAGGACACCTTTGGTCTTTCAGTCACTTTAAATGTGGAAGAGCTTCTTTTATGAGATGGTTCTTTCACGTGGGGCACTTTGGACTCTGTGTTATCTGGTCAAATTATAAATGACACAATAATACACAAAAATTAATTTACCCTCATGTTCATGATTAAAAGCAAGAGTAATATAATAATAAAAACAGGAATTGGCTTTTGTCTCCACCTAGTGGAAAAAACAGGACAATGATGAGATAAAATAAACTGGATCTTTATTGATCCCTGAAGGGAAATGCAGGTGTTATAGCAGCAACAGAATACGAGATAAACACAGGTAGTACACCTGAGAATATACACAGAGATATTAAGAATAATTTACAATTATCTTTAAAAGTATTTTATCCCGTGTTCATCCAGAACTGGTGACCAATTCTAATCAAAATACCAGATTATAATTACGATAAAAAAAAGTAGATTTTGGGTTAACAACTCCTGGTTTTATTATTAAATCGCAACAACAGAAAAAGTGGTGCCAAATATACTTCAAATGTTATCAACTGTTAAAATCTCCATGCTACTAATCAACCACAAACAGGCGCTTGAAAAGCTCTATATCACAAACTGACTCTTACCATAATTTGTAGGGGAATTCCTGAGGATGGATTTAGCCCATTCCTAAAAATAAAACAAAAACACATGCAGTATATATAACAATGTAAATATACTACTGATAATTGTTTGACCAGAAGTCAAAATCACCTGTTTTGGAGTAGAACTCCTCAGTTCTGTAAAATCATTGGATTCGTTGTTTGATTCTGAGACAGAAAACAGTTTGTAAAGAAGTTACAAAAATGTCACTTGGTTGGTTTTAAACTGAAAATGAGTTTGTTGACTTTGACCTCTTACCTTCTGCCTCGTGAACCGAGAGGGACTGAGTGTCACTTTGCCCTTCATGATTCCTCGCAACAAAATTCAACACAATATCATCGGTGTCCGTCAGGAGAGAGAGCCTCCTGGTTAAGCGGTCAACCAAAGCCAGTCTCTGATCACTGCTTCTGTGAAACACAAGCAAGACAGAATGATACAACTCGAGAGAATAACAGGTGAGATATTTGTTTGGATAACTGCAACTGTAAGTGAGTGTTTTTGCACAATCACTTTTGTCTTTAAAAGCTCTACAGTGATATGTATGTGTTGCCTTTCTTCATAATCAAACATTGTAGTCACTCCCTTTCTAACAAAATTCATGTAAATCAAAATACATTTTGAGTGTTTTCCATTTTCTCAAGATCATAGGTAGACCTATTCAGTCAAAAGTGAAGTGAAACCCAAGCATTTGTCTGCCAGTTTACCTTTGCTCAGCAACCTGATTTAAAGAGGAGCTCTTCTGCTGAGGTAGAAGGTCAGAGGAGAACTGCATTATGGCAACTTTGCGCTCTGTGTCTCTGATTGGACAGCTGTCTAGAAAGCAAGAAAGGACACTCAGTTGCGTTGAAAACTGACCGGAGATAAGCCCAAACTGGGGAAGGTGGTTATATTTTACCTAGTTTGCGTAGGTTGGGCATGGCATGCACCAGGAAAGGGCGGTATTGTGGGTAACTTTTAGTCAGAGGGTTGAGTCTGAGGTCCAGCTCTCTCAAAGCTGGCAGCTCGTACACCCCGTTCACCTCTTCAAGGGAAGGAATGCGGTTATAGTACAGGATCAGCCTCTCAAGCACTTTCAAATGTTGAACCCCCTGGGGAGGAAACAATACCGTTTTGAAAAGAGGTTAACAGTTATGAGCAGATTTTAAAAATGTCCCAAATTGGGATTAATAAAGTACATCTTATCTTATTTTATATCAGATCAGCATTTTCAAGTATACATTTTGAGCATGGAATAATCTACAAAGACATCTAAAATTAGAAACATTCATAACAAATAAATGTAAGAGCATCATTAAGAGTGGTGACAGAGGCATAAGGTTGATTTTCTTGAGAGGCAAAAGAGTTTTTGTTTTATTGTACATTTTTGTAAATCATATTGCATATGTGTTGTGATTTTAATGTGGCTGCCTGGGCCGGATATCTCAATGCAATTTACTGGTTAAAAACACAATGCATGTATAACCATGTTTAACAAATTAAGAAACAAAGGATAAAAACTACTGGACAGTACACTTTGTCAGTTTTCCTTATAGGGGAATTTAATTGAACCCCCACAAACACATTAACAGCTTAAAGACTTGATCCAGAGTTTAAACTTTTAAATATAGTCTATGGTTTAAACCCACCTCAATGCAGACGATAGCGTTGCAGGAGAGGTCCAGAGACTTCAGACGGACAAAGTTATTCAGAGCATTTCCCAGATGTCTGATCTTCTCCTCATACGTCCCCGGGAGGCTCAGTGAGCGGACATCACCTGTTTAAAAGAACAACATGTACTATGAGACTGCAGTGAATTATTAGCTTGTGGTGCTTGTGGTTTGCAGCAGATTGCAGTCATTGCTAGTGGCTGTGTTAGCTGGCGTTAGCTTAGCCGTCAATGCTAAGGTTTGGAAAAGTAACTACGGTTAGCTAAAATAGTTTTAAAACAACACAAGCTCAACGCCATGGCTTGACCTGTAATAGTCGCTTGTATGTATTCGCATACAGCGCTTGTATTAGAATTAGATCATCTTACCAAGATAGGGATGTTTTAATTGTAATCTCTCCCGTATCCATTGCTCTGTTATGGTTGTCAAACTCTCCGCCGCCATACTTTTCGAACTCATGCTGCCTTCAGGTACTGTCGGAAGAAACCGAAAGCATCATTCAGTTTGACCTTTACATATTGATGTACCCCAAATGGTGCACCATCTGTTTTACTGATTAAACGCAAAGACTGTATATCATAATCGTTTGCTACTCATACTAACATTAGCTATTATTTTTCTACCGTTAAAATAATATTTTTTTCTGCCATACTGATAGATCTAATCAATTACATTATATTCGATACATAGGCCTATACAATTAATACATTCATAAATATGTATGCCTACGCAACTAATACATATGGCTTTAAAATAGAAAGCCAAACACAATTCACAATTAATGTTGCACCAGCACCTATATTGCTGGAACGGTACAATCAGAGTTTACAAGGAGCATGAAAGGCGTCTCTTGGAGCATGCGTACTGTCCACATCCGGAGTTGTCACGTGTCATAACAAACGTGTTCCTGTCTAAAGTTTGGTCCTCTGTTCTCTGTGTTTAGCCAACTATAAAACACCGTCAGATTCATGCAACAGTCTAGCAGTTCACTTCACACACACGTATTGTTGCCGTTAGTAACGGTAGCGTTGCCAACATCGTGGATGTTTACAGGAGTGCCAGTCGTCGTCAGGATCAATGGCGTCCTGTGCAACAGAGTTGATAACATCATGTTCCAACATCGTTTTGTCTGCCACAGCATTATACTATTCCTACAGACTATTTAAGGTAGGTGGCATTCAGTGCAGTGCCAAATATCGATGATAATTGGTAAAAAGTTATTTACTAACTTCAATGTGTTGTGCTGAAACCATAAATCGATGTAGCTGACCAAACGATATTCGACAGACATTCACTCCTGTGTTCTGCTTCGTGTCCTACTTGTCCATTGTACACTCATTTTAAATAGAAGGTGGACTTTAATCCATTCAAAAGATATGTGTCCTACTACTTGTAATGTCCACTGTAGTAATACATGTCTGCATTGTCACTGGGTCACATAACATGGAAATTATTGAAAAAGAAACTTCATTACAATATTCTTATAAAATTCAAATACACACATTTCCTATAAAAAAAAGAGAGGTGTGTCCTCCTTATCCAGTTTAATATTACAATTCTGCATTGATTTTGAAAAATTAAGGTACATAAATACAGAAGCGATTAACAATATGTTAATACGGCATATAAAAAAAGAGACATATTTAAATAAAATTGAAGAATCATTCCAATGTATCCTACTTGTTCAGTGTATTATCACAATGCCTTATTCATTTAAAATCATAAGGCTCACTGCCTGTGCATTTGTCTCTCTGTAGGATCACAGAGCTCCTTCAGTAGGCCTCTTCCTGCTCGGACTCTCTGCAGCACTGTGCATCGTGCAGCCCTCCAGCTCATACCTCACATCTTTACAGAGAGAAGCAGAGTGGACCGCCCAGGTTCTGGCTCCAGCGCTGGTCTCCTTCGACTTCCTGTGGCTCAGTGAAGACCACAACACAGCACATACCCTCCTGTGTGGCTCCTGTCTGCTGCTTGGTCTGTGTGACTGGCTCTCAGCCGATGCTCTCACGCTGATGACGCGCTGCCTCGGTTTGTCTTCCCTGTCCTGCTGTCTGACGGTCTGTCTGTTTGCAGGGAATGCTTTAGGGGCCTTTGGCGGTGTGGCCCTCAGCCTCCCATTGCTTGTGGCTCAGAGGGTCGGAACAAACACTTTCGCTCCACTCATTTCTCAAGCTGCAACTGAGGGACTCATCAAGTGGCTTTTAAAGGGCATCATGTCTGTGGGCTGTTGGGCCTCCACACAGGCCCTTGGCAAGTTCCTGTTGGATGTGACTGAGCAATGTATCATGGACCTTTAGAAAATCTGTAGATATCTGTATGATGAGTCAGGATCCGTGTGATGGACTTGGACAACATACACAACAGTACAAAAGTCAACTGGTACTGACCAAAAGGGACCCATGCAAAAGTGAATGTGCCTAACTTATTAGCATTTCAGAACAATTCTGAAAAAGAGTTGTGCTGCACAATTTTTGCAATTACAACAAACTTTTTCAGGATGTTTTTAACTGGATTAATTTTTATTATATTAATATTAATAATAATAATACATTTTATCTTGTATTTTAAGGTATAAAAAGATTGCAGTAGAGTTGGAGTGAGAAGTGGATTCATTGATTAGTAAATTGACTGAAAATGAAACGATACAATATATACAATACATTTTCTAAATGATTTATTAAGAAATTATTGATTATTTCGAAAAATGCCACACAACAGCTGATGGAGGAATTGCTGCTTTTTTCTTTGTTTAGTCATCATAAAACAAATATTGAGATAAAGACTGTTGAGAGAAAAAGCAATCCAAAGAGTTCACCTTGCGCACTTGGAAACATTTTAAAATATATTCTGACATTATCTTACAGATAATATGATTCATTTAAGATTTTAAGAAAGACAATGTAAACATTTGCATTTCTTTCTTCATTTTTGAGGCCACATGCACTAAAGTATAACATGCTTCACATATTTTATGTTTAAGGACTTAATACAATTATTATTTAACACAATTATTAAGGCTGAGATATATGAAACAAGTGCTTTTTATTATTTATTTTGTATCACGCTTTGTGTTTGAAAATGAAAAATCAAGCCAAATATTCAACATGGTAACGGAGTATTGTAGCTTACATTTCCAAGTAATTCAGAAATCATTCAGATATCTGATTTAGTCAATTCTTTGTAGTTCCAATGAAGTCCCAGATTGGGTTTACAGTATCCGCTAAGCATAGACCTTGGCTGAACTTAGTATGAACTTTATTTGAATAAAATACAAAGCATTAACAAAACACAGATGCCACTGAACAAACTCATTTGCATGAGAATATCTGACCACAATTTACAACTGATAGCCGGTCTGCATGACTGTGATGCAGCAATGACCTTTATTAGACATATTGGAGTACCCTCCTGACATTAATTATGCTGTTCAATTCGCCAGCACGTGGGCGGTTTAATTTAATCTTTGATCATTTTAGAGAATGTCTTGCCGGCTGTATTCACTGTCAGGCTGTTAGAAGCCTGCACACATCTCTTCAAAAGTTTCAACATCTAGCTGCTTCAGAGTCTGGGTCCCATTTGTTCTGCAGCCTCAGCAGTATCACTGTTTCCATATCTGCAGTGGTCAGAGCTCTTGGTCGTGCTCTTACCTCACCATGCTCGTTTGATACTTATCAGTAGACATTTTACATAATGGTTTGCTGCAGTGGTAACAGAAATTACCTCATCTGTTTAACATTGTGCCCACATTGTTGTCCTATCAACATTTCCATATTCTGTGCAGCCATGTGAACACTGCAGATTCTCTCTCAGGATTTCAGAATTGTAAGCAGCTGCCTCAGCATTTTTACTGCAGTAAACAACAAGGATTTGTGGCTGTGTTCCTGTCTGTGGAACAATGCCTTTGTCAGACCTCAGCACACAGGTGACCAGGGATATTTAAAAATGTATTTAATTCTGTACACGCCTGTGAATTTGGGTTGCAAAAGGATGATGCTGATTGTGCTGTGATTCATCATTAAGGTCAAGTCTTTATTGGAAACATTAATCTGTTTTAAAATGTCACATGTTGTATTTTATTTATTTTTAATTTGTTAACAAAAATGTGAAAACTAAAGGAATTTTAAGTTGACATAACTTGAATAAATTATTTAAATGCATCTGAAAAAATTACTTTTAGTTACAGAGTATCATTTCCCACCGCGTTACACAGGCTTCTTGTCTTGTGGCCAACTTCTGTACCATATACAGTCCTTGGAAACATCAAATATTGCAAGTGCAATACGTTGAAGTATCTGATTTGTATGAACACCTGGAGCCAGGCACATCTCATCCACCCCTTTCTCTGTTATCACCACCAACCGCTCCTGGTTCAATCTGTCTCCATATAGAAACTGTCACTTCACACTGCAGCGGATCAGTAAACTGCACTGAGCATGCTCGTGCAGATGCAGCCTGTAGATGGAGCAAAGCGGAGAGGAGGAGAAAGAGGAGGAGAGAAAACAGAGAGGGAGACACACAGGAGCTGCACACAGCGCTGGGATGCTGTTGCAGCTCTGAGAACAAAACCTGCATGGGAGGATTCTTCTTTGTCAACACAGATGGAGTGTGAGAGGGGAATACCAATGACTGGGATGTCAGATCGTCATCACCAAAGAGGAACAGACATGTGAAAAGGTAAAAGAGAAACATCTCAGCTTGATGGAATGAAGTGAAGTGTGTCTCTTGAGAAGTCCTGATGTATTGTGTTTGTTTTTTTTAACTGTTATTTTTACATGTATTCTTTCTTTGATTATCAGAAAGACTTCAAGTAAAATTGTGTGTGCTTTTCTGCTGCAAGATAGAGATGAATGAGGTTATTTACTGAGCTTATGTGTCATTTACAGGGACTCTTGGACGGCGTAGCAATGTACGCCTTCTACTCCCTGTTAGTCTACATCTTCTACACCGTCTTCAAGAAGGAAGAGGAGGATGAAGCTTTGGAGGGGGCATGTGGATCGTCCTCAAATGTATGTCTAGCCACATCATGTCTAACCTCGGGGGTCCTCCGTGAGGAAAAGTCATTTTTATTTCAGGGAACATGCCTGCGTCATCTTTACCCCCCGACAGTACAGAAGGGCTCTGTCATAGAGCATGTATACATTTGTGTTTTCATTTTCTTTGCTCATTTGGTGGATTTCTGTGGATGCAATATGTAAATATTTAGCCTGTGCATTACCATCTGACCCTAATGCATGTTGCTGTGTTCAGGAGCCAAGACCTGTTTCCATGGAAACAGGGAGAAGGAGGAGAGATGGCCACACCTCCAAAATGGGGAAGAAGGCTTGTGCTCAGCGTGGTGAATCCAGTGAGTGCTCAAATAGCTTTTATTTTTAGTCCAATGTAAAGGCTGACATGTGATATAGAAGATCAATAAAACATTTATGATGTGGGTAGATTCTACTTATTGAATATTTAGTATATACATTCCTTTACTCTTCATTGTTTTTGTGATTTCTTTTCATCCAGGCAGTAGCAGTGACAGTGATGAAATGTCTCTGAGTGATGAAGGTGAGGCAGAAGGCCCCGACATCCCAGCATGCACTCCTCTAGCTGCTTTCCTGTCCTTCAAGCATGAGGCTGAGAAGACGAGGGCCTCCCAGGTCCAAGTGGAAACAACAGGAAAGGTGACAAAACTGTCATCACCTAATCTTAGCTCCTCACCTGATGCATAAATGAGAAGTTCCCCAAATAGTAACTCCCTATGTGCTGCTCAGCCGACAGAGTCTCCCCTGCTGGCGGTGATGTCCCACTTGCTGACTTTTCTGGAGCAGTACTCCCACTTCCAGCAGCTGCAGCAGCAGGCCGACCAGTACCGGGTCCAGCTGAAGAGGCACCGCGTAAAGCACCGCCGACAAATGAAGGCCCTACGAGCGTCATACCGCCAGCGCCTCAGGGACAAGAGCAGCATCATCAGCAGCCTGGAGGAAGCCATCAGCCAGCAGCACACCCCCAGCCCGCTGAGCGAGGGTGAGGGGGAGAGGGAATGGTCACCTAGGGGAAGGAGAGAAGAAAGAAAGAAAGGGGAGGGGGCAATTAAGGTGCAAGAGGAATGGGTTTTTCAATTTCCTTCCGGTAGGTGTGAGGAGGATGAAAAACAGAGAGGTAGTGGTTGTTTTAATAACCAGAAGTAGATTGGTTGGTGTGAAGCAGAAAATGGCCCTGCAGACTTAAAATCGATAAGAGACTTCAGATTGGGGGAGATCATGTGATGGATGGAGGATGATGACTAAAAGGACAAGGAAAAAAGGGAAGCAATTTCACATGCTCATCATAACAGGTGTCTATCCTGGGTTCAAGAATAACGATAAGATGGGTTTTCCTTTAAACCTATGACAGCTCAGTCGTTTCCATCATTATATAACAAAGTGAGTAGGATTTGAGAGTGAGTCATCAGTTCCCAAGATAGTGTCAGTAGTTCACTTCAGCCATGGGGATTTTCCATTGTTGGCCCACCCTAGATTAGATTTTTTTTTTTTCAGCTTGGGATACTGTACACTTTTTATAGAAGAATACAGTCTTCAGCAGAGGAGCAGACTGATTAGATGTGCGTGTAAGTCAAGAGGCCAGACTAACTCTGTGCAGCTGCAATTGACCTAAAAGCTTTAGATGTGGGTCTCTGCTATGTTTCAGATCTGACCAGATGGTTCTTTGACCTCGGAGCAGTAGGATAGCCGTATAAGCTGCACTGTATTACATCACTTTCATGTGTAATGTACAGTATGGCGTGTTAAAAAGTGCATGAAGCTGTAGTAGACAGATCAGAATCCTGTCCTGATGCTGACTGTTAGTCTTGGAGAAATGTACCTATGATAACCCGGGGGTTATATGAATCTCAGTGTGTAGGTGTGTTTAAAGGGAGGATCTCATGCGTACTGAATCTCATTAGCCACAGGAAAAAGATACATGATTCCGTGGCGAGGTTCTTTGGGTACAGGGATAGCGATTCTTTGGCTCTCTTTCTTGAATAAAACATGGCTCAGAGTTATGTTTTATTCCCTGCAAATGCACTTACACGTCTTGGCACATGCAAGGAGCCACGTGTACTTGTGTTGGACTAAAAATAGCCGGAGTCAATGCCCCAAGTGTGACAAGGGTGTGTGGTCTGTTTGTTTACTGTTGTGCAACGTGCAGGCCTAAGTGGAGAGGTGAAGCTATCTTAGCGTCTCACCTTTCTTGAAAGAGTGTTTCTTTTAAGATCCTTGATGCACAGCTGCACAGGATGCACAGATCCTTGATGACCAGCTGTAGGCTTTGCTTAATTGTTGTTGTTGTCTTTCCCTCACATCACCTCTTCTCCCTGCCCCATTGTGACAGCAAACCTGACATGGCGACATTTATCAAATTAGCATAAGGCCTTGCGATGATCATTGAAAATGCTGCGGGGCATGCTCCATGGAGTTTTTATTTTAGCAAGCTGTTGCTTTGTTTAAATGATCTTCAATGTTCCAGGCTGCACGTGAGAAGCTGCAGCAATCCTGTATAGATCTTTAAAGACGCCCAGGAGACTTGAGGGTGGAAACGATAATGTTAACCTCACTGCAAGGCATGGTGACTACAGGCTTTCTAAAAGAGCTTTAAGTAATGTTCATTAATAATAAACACACAAGCATTTAGGCGTACTGCAGGAATTTGTCACAAGAAAAACTGATCAAAAAAACAGGTCAGAGGAGGTTCAAACGACTATTGTACTATTATTGGTTGTCTGAATATGAATATTGATCTGAAGATGGCATAATATAGCTACGGTTATTTTTGCTTTTTGTTATGCCATCAATATCCAGGCTGTATGATGGTGCTGCTGCATAGGCTGATTTGAATGTTCCTTGTTTATATCCCCCAGGTGAGTCCATCGGTGATGCAGGGACACAAGCTGGGGTTCACCGGCTGGTTGAGTCTCTGTACGGGCTGCAGGGGGAGAGGAGTAAGCTTAGGGGGGAACTCCGTCTGCTGCACTCCCAGCTGGAGGAGAAGGATCTGGACCGACACTCTCGTATACAGACCTTCCAGCAGCAGGTAGGCAGCTGCATATTAGAGACATCCTCAATGCTTGATCCATTTAGGAACAATCTGCTTCAGGAAATCCATACATCCTTTATCACAAATAGTTTATTGTGTTTGAATCTAGTCTCATTACAATATTAGTAATGCAGTTTGTAATAATGAAGTAAGGCAAGGCAAGTTTATTTATATAGCACCTTTCAACACAAGGCAATTCAAAGTGCTTTACAAAAATGAAAGACATTAAAGGTGGGGTAGGTCATTTTGGAGAAACCAGCTCGAGTGCGCTAGAATTTGAAAATACACAGCTGGAAAAGATCTGCCACTTCCTTACAGAGCCCCTCCTCCAACACACACGAACGCGCACATGACCAATGAGGGCACGAGATAAGTTTGTGCACAGATGGAAGGCTGACAGGCAGGTAGGCCATCCAGTTATTTTAGCCGGGCCGTCTCAGATGATTCGTCGTACTTTTTACAGTACTATGGCTTCCACAGATGGATTTCTTTATGGATTTTTTGTCAAAGCACTTAAGATATTCATTGCTATCGGGATGTTAAGAGCATTCCATGGAATATAACAAAAAGTGTATCTCGAGCCGGTTTCTCAAACTTACCTACCCTACCTTTAAGAGCATTAAGAAATAGTGCAGTGGAAACACATTATAAAATGGCATTTAAAAACAGTCATTAAAAAAAAAAGATAATAAAAGAAACATAAGAATTACAAGAATAATCTTTGGCCTTTAAACTATCTTTTCAAGTAGTAATATTATGAAGTAATGACCTATTATTAATGTTTGCAAAAAAAAGTAGTATTGCAGAATAAAATCACTTCACATTGTGCCATAGATAATGGAATCATGGTGTGTTATATAATATATAGTAAATCATGTCTGTACTCTAAATCTATCTCTGTTTACCTCTTCTCATTCCTTACACAGATCGACGAGCTCAAGAGTTGCATAGAGGAGCGCGAGGAGGAGCTGTGCAGACTGAAAACAGCCACTGTAAGCCCTGTGCACTATTGATTCAATCATTTGTCAAGTCTTCGTCACTTCCCTCGTCATCAGCAAAGCTGCAACGTCTGCCCACACGCTTCTAATGAAATGCCAAACATCAGTCAGATGGCG